GTAAATATGGTACTGCTCTGTAAGTTTTAGTGCACAATTTCTATTTCTTTGCTGTGCTGAATGTAACATTTTGGAAGAAACGTAAAACATAAAATGTGCTGTAACTTCTGTACAGGTTATCATTTATGTTATTTTTCCTTTTAAATATGTAAAATTAAGCAAATAAACAGTAATTGTGCATTTAAATGTGCAGAAGTGTGTTCTCTGTATTGCATGTGTTCATTTATTTTCACTCAGAAAATCAAAAAAACACATCATTTGACCGGGGTTGCCCAAATTTTTGCATGCAACTGCAGATACTTCGGTTGCATACGACTTTATATGCATTTAGGACTGTCACGATTCATTGATTAAACGTCATTTTATATATATATATATATATATATATATATATATATAATATACACACACACACACACACACACACACATATATAGACAAGGCAGCACCATGAACAAGACTTCAGTAATATGGTAAATACAATGGAGATCATTACACCACATCGTCCCAACAACACATCTCTGACCTTGCTGTGCCCAGTGTGTACAAGGAGGTAAAAACTAACTTTTATTTTATTTTTTTTCTGATAAAGCCAAATAATAATTCCTTTTTTCAGACTGCACGAAAAGTAGTGCTATAATGTTGGCTGGTACAGGCGCTGTGATAAATGCAAATGCATAAAAAGTCAACTTATGCTTACGGTGATGTGATTTTTTTATGACAGTTTTTCCTAAAATTAGATTTAAAAAAATTGTAATATACTGTCTTGCTTACAGTATCGCAATATACCACAGTATATTGAATCGTAATCCCTGTACTGTGATATGTATCGTAGCGCCAGGTTCTTGCCAATACACAGCCCTTTTGGACCAGTGTTAAAAACTCCAGCAGCACTGCTGTGTCTGATCCACTCGTACCAGCTGTGGGGGTCCTGACTATTGAAGAAAGGGTGCTAACAAAGTATGCAGAGAAACAGACGGACTACAGTCTGTAATTGTAGAACTACTAAGTGCACCTATATAGTAAGTGGAGCTGATAAAATGGACAATGAGTGTAGAAACAAGGAGGTGTATTTAATAAAGTGGCTGGTCAGTGTGTATACAGTATATGCAGTACTGGGCAGATCATTAGAGGAGAAATTGATTAATTGATTCATTTGTAGTGAACAATTGTTCACTGCTATTCAAATTACAGTTGCTAAAGGGAAATATTACATAATAAATGTAGTCTATATAATCGTTGTCTGTTAATGATACTTTACCATATTCACGTGAGAGGATGCATCTGCTGTGTTATAAAATAAACACTTTGTAAAAAAATACATTCACTCTCTAAACTCATCCCTTTGCTGAAAATCAGCTTAAATACTTAAAATAGTACTCTGACACTCAGCCTGGCCTGGGGTGTGTGTGTGTGTGTGTGTTTGTGTGTGTGTGTTTGTGTGTGTTTGTGTGCTAACAGAAGCTATGGGAGATTATAGCTGAAGCATGTCTGAGCAGGTGTGAATGCAGACGCAGCAATGCTGCTCAGCTGGATCTCACAGCTTGTGGTGTTAATAGATGCTGGACACAGTCCAGTGTCTTTGCTATTTAAACACACAGCAGAGCAGCCACAATGATACCACTATAATGACATTATATCATAAATAGTGATGGTTATTTTCGTTTAGGTTGGATGTGGTATTGTCCTATTGATTCTTCTGTCATTCTACACCTTTTAAGACAGTCTGTTTACCGAATTTAAACAATTCTAACTTGTAGCAGAGGTTTTATACCACGGTTCACAAACGATGTTAATAATAATAAACCATTTCTAACTTATTCTTGGTCTTTAAATTTTGGGATGTGCCATGTATCGTGACTGGGATATCAGCAGCAAGTGCTGGATTGGGTATCCAAGGGGACAAAAAATCATCTAATCCCATTCTGTAACAAATCTGTCCTGAAATTGCACTCACTCTCACTGTGTGATCTGATGTTGTTAGCTGTGTACTGCTTCCTGTGGGGCAGTAGAGTGACTGAACATTATGAGTATACTATAGAGTTGGGCGATATGGCATAAATATCATATCATGATCCTTAAAATACATTTTTTACCTTTTAGTCCACCTGAAATACTTTTAAACAATCTGACAGATGAGAGCTGTATCCGTTCTTCTTATATTTCATGTCATTTCTGCCTTTTTTTATTTATTTTGCTGTTTAAATTGTATTATTTGATGTAGATGTTGCTTTACACTCTTAATAAAGGAAGAAGCATGTTCTTTTATTTCTGTTTATTATTTTACTGTGGTGTATATTTTTCTTGTATGTTTTACACGGCCACACTTTCAATGGCCTAACATGCACCCAATCAATAAATAAATAAATAAATAAGATACACAATATGTATCACAATATAGCCGACACTCAGACACAAGAAAGTGCCATCAAAAACTCTTGGTAGCATGATTTTTATGTAATCTTCACTGGAAAAGGAACTCTTTTTTTTTTTTTTATCCGATTTCCAATATTATTATAACGCTAATTTTCGCTAGCACCTCTATGGGGTTTGCCATGTTATCCTATCGCTTATTTGATACTTTATTCAAATATGCAATTCACTTTAGAGTTGCAATGTCCATATATTCAAATAACCTCTATTTAATTATACTTTCAACCCCTCCTCCATGCAGAAGTCACTGTCTTAAGCACAGTGTTAAAAAGCTTATTTAAATCTTGGGATCAGCTGATACTCAAGGTTTCAATATCGGTATCATGCCAGCTCTATTTAGCAGTCAGTGAAAGGATATTCGGTTATCCATGAAAATAATTTATAACAATCTTTCCCCACTGTAATTAAACTTTCCTCCAGTCAGTGCTGCATTTCTCTGTGTTTGACCAAAGCAAAACAGAGAAATATGAACTGAAATGTTCAATGTAAACCCATAACCTTATTCCAGGGCATATGTTCATTTTCACCATCATATTTTCCTCCCAGTGATACAATATAATGAACAGACAGGCCGTGATTTCAGTATTTGAATGAAATCCTGGAACGTTTCACAGAGTATTGGATTACCTGTGCGCACCCCTAGCTTTCCCGGCCTCTTTGTTCTCTGTCCTGCGGTTTTTACATGCAAATCGCATCACGTTGATACTCAATCCTCCAGATATAAACAAAATCTCCTGAAATTTGCATCACCTTTACCTCGTACAATGCAGCAATACTGCTGAAGCATCAATCAATGAAAGGCACACCAGTATAAAAGCTTTATAATGAAAATGATTCCCGGCTGTCAGGCCAACTTTTCTCCTTGTCTGTTCCTATTCTTTCCTTCCAGTGAAAATCCAGTCATAACCTTCAGCCTGAAACATTACACTTTCACTTACCAGCTCAGCCTCTAACACAATAGCTGGAACTTGGTGGGACAAGAAATCTGGTGCCTGATCTTTTTAAAAGATTGACATCAGCTATGCAACAAAACAACCAGAAGTGGGTAGAACTAGTTCCAGACACTTAAAGGGAAATTCCATTGATTTTTCTGCACAATTCAGCCTTTCAGATGTACAAAAAAAGCCATTCAGAGAGGTGTGATGTGAAATGTGTCGTTCTAGAGCAACTAGAGCCAGAATTTGGTAACAGTGATGGTGACAGGAACCTTTTTCATTCATCAAGGTACAAATAATGCAAATGTTCCCTCAAATGTACAGCAGTGGTTTTAAGGTCCAATTCTGTACCTTAAATAAGGTTTTCCATGTGAAAAGTACATATTTGTCCCTTTCCATAATCTAAAGTTTTAAAACAAACCAATAAAATAAAAGCCTGGAGACGAGACGGGGTGTGTGGAGTCAGTACAACTTCGAAAACATAATTCCAGTGGATTATGGTACAATTATGTTCCCTGACTAAAGCTACTGAGATGTACCCTTGAGGGAACCACCCCAGTGACGAGAGGGGAACTGCCCCAGTGACAGTTTAGTACTTTTATTTCTGAGAGTGCAACATTACAAATAAATTCCCAGCAAATAAGTGTAGATATAAATAAAACAGTATATATAAATTGAATAGTAACTAAAATGGCTATTTTTGTGTTGTACATATCACGACCCCTGCTTCCTATCACCACCACTGTAAAGAAATCTGAGTCTAAGTGTTTCTACAGTGAACCACTTAATGTGGAACCGTGCCAAAATACTTTGTTTACATCTCAATCCAAAAAAATCCCCAAAACAGAAGCTCCTAACAAACTTCAGTTCCCATACTAATAGATGCCAGATATGCTGAGCAGCTCCACCGCAGCTCTCAGTACTTGAGGATACCTTTTACTTGCTACTTTTGACTCATTCTTTCACTGAAGTGACAAGTGACAGCACTTTCACTTCAGAGTAGTTTGAAGACGCATGTATTGATTATGGCTGAAGTGAATAATAACAACATTATCCTATAAGAACATTGCAATCACAATCACAATCACAACCAAAGAACATGCTTGGGTTCTAAACTAGCCACAAACTTGTTCACTCTCCAACAAGGCCGAGCCCTGAGCTCCTTGTGTAAGTGGAGGAGAGCAGGCCAGTCTGAACACATGCAGTCTGTTTTTGTCTGCCTGAAAACATCTGATTCCAATTAACTTCCACAAAGTGCCTGCAGAGACTCCTCCTAGCTCACCTATCATACAAAAGAAAGGCAGCGCAGCTTGAGTTGGCTTCTTGTTCGAATTTTCCGTTCCACCTTAAATGGTGCAGCACTTCCAATGGAACTGCTGCACCGTTTAAGGTGGAACGGGAAATTCGAACAAGAAGCCAACTCAAGCTGCGTAGGGAGGCAAAGAAATCTGTGGATACTGCATTGAAATACAACTGTCGAGGCTGAGAAGAGCAGAAGGCTCCGTTTTAGACTGCTTATGCTGAAGGTTTTAGCTCTACTAGTCCTATAAGCCTCAGCGCGCGGCGGCTTTATGAGCGTGAAACTGCGAACAGACGCGCCGCAGCGCAGAAGTGAAGCTCAGACTCTCTTACCCAGCAGCCCCTCACGTGGGATTCACGGCAGCTCTGTAAGCCTCGTTTCCAGCTGGAACAAACTTCCCGCAGCTGTAATGTTGTCCTACATGTCTTACTGGGAAAGACAAAACAAGTGAGCCGCTGCTGAACACTGGAGTGAGTTCACTCTGGAGTTTGGAGGTGTCTCTCACTCTCAGCCCAGCCCACCGCTGCTGGCCCAAACTCTGAAACGCTGAAACCCGAGCCAGGTGTGGAGCTGCAGCGCCACAGCTGGTACAGGTAGTGCTGTGCTAGAATAAGAGTCCAGATTGTGGGGTTGGATCAAGTCAAGTCAAGTCAGCTTTATTGTCAATACTACAATACGGGACATACAGCGTATTGAAGTCTCTCTTAGACCCCATTTAAAATAGAATTTAAATAGACACTAAATAAACACTAAGCACTAATCGTACAAATAAACACTAATTGTAGAAAAATAGAGTAATAAAAAATAATATAAATGTAAGAAGGTCCTGAAATTAACACTAAAGTGAGATAAGGCACATACAGATTAGGGCTGTGGGTATAAATAGTGCAAATATAAACAGTGGTGCAATTAGACTGAGCTTATGGAGCAGTTAGAGTGATGAGTGCGTAACAGTCCCTGGGAATGTCCAGTATTTCAGTATTGGGGAGTGGCAGTCAGGAGTGTGTGTGTGTGTGTGTGTGTGTGTGTGTGTGTGTGTGTGTGTGTGTGAATGAATGAATGAATGAATAAATAAATAAACTACTAACCAGAGACTTTTAACAGTTTAACAGTAAAAATAATTGATAGATTTCATCTCAGCCAGTTAGTAAGTAAATAAATAAGTAAATAGATAGATAGAAAGACAGATAGATAGATAGATAGATAGATAGATAGATAGATAGATAGATAGATAGATGGATAGATAGATAGAGATAGATAGATAGAAAGACAGACAGATAGAAAGACAGACAGATAGATAGACAGATAGATAGATAGACAGATAGAAAGACAGACAGATAGATAGATAGATAGATAGATAGACAGATAGATAGAAAGACAGACAGATAGATAGATAGATAGATAGATAGATAGATAGATAGTCAGATAGATAGTCAGATAGATAGATAGATAGATACATGGTGTTATAATCGCTCCCCTGGCGCTGATGAATATTTATAATAAAGCAATAAATATTTATAACAATGTCATAAATAATTATAATAGTCAGAAATATTACGCGTTCCTTGGGGCAGCGCAGGAGCTGCGCAGATTCTGTTGATCTGCAGGTTTTATATGTTCTTCATTTTTAGAGTTAAGATTATTTAAAGTTCTAAACAAAAGTCTTTTGAGTAACAGAAATGCTGTGAGGACGAGGCTCTTCGTACTACACGTTTTCGGGAGTAATGATTTGGTGATGTACGAATCTGCGTATCCTGCGCTTCTCGAACGCATCCCGGATACTCACAGGCTCCATTTTCTCGACCACAGATATTATACATGGAGATCTCCCACTCTGAGTGCTTCCGGTCTGGAATTCCCGTTAGAGGGCGCACGAAAGAGACCAAAGTGAATGAAGGCGAATGGAGCTAAACGGCTAACATTGTGAATTAAGATGTATGTATGTATGGTGAATATTGCAGCGATGGATTAGATGAAAATGTGAATTAAACATACTAATATCTTTAAGGTTTTCTATGGTAATGTCGCACTGCAGTTGCTGACTGCAAACATGTTTCCCCTAAAAAAAATCTTGCTGCATAAAATAAAAATACATTAGTACTTCTCGAGAAGATTTCTGATAGAACACATCCTTGCAGTTTCCATAATAAAATCAAGTTATGGCGTTTTCGACCGTCAACATGATGATTTTTAACTGAGCTCCATTCACTCCCATTCATTTGAACTCTCTGTGTCCGGCGCCCTCTAGCGCCTGGATGATGTATTGTAAGAGTATTTTTGATCCAATGGAGTGAGTAGCGGAAGGGTGCGGAGCTCTCCGCAAACTGGCTGCGATTGGACCTTATGTTTTTGGGTCCCGCCTCCTTCGCTGAAGGTGCTTCCGTCAAGATGGTCGTGGGTGCTTTCCCCATCGCCAAGCTGCTCTATCTGGGCGTCAGGCAGCTCAGCAAACCGGTGGCGAACAGGATTAAAGCCGGAGCGAGGAGGAGTGAATTCTTCAAGAACTACATCTGCCTTCCTCCAGCTCAGGGTGAGCAAACTGTGAGGTCAATTCAGATCAGAGACGGGCGCGATAGACGGCTAAGGGTACAACAAGCACATGCACAGCCAATAGACTTCAGAGCAGCGCCGTCTGTAACCAATCAGCAGTGCTGATATTACAGCATGCAGCGTTTACAGTGATGGATTCGCCAATAGCCCAATACAGAAACAGAAGGCGTGTCTTTCAGGTCCAAAAAAGACCAATGGGCGCTTCCTCAGTCTCTGTCATTGAGTGCTTGAAAGTGCCTTTTACCAAATTCTGACATTGCACTTTTCTGTTTTCTGAGTCTTCATAACATAATGTGTACACTCTTAAAAAAAGATGGTTCTTCTAGGGTTCTTTAGTAAAAGCAATGGGTCTATTTAGAACCATGAGCACCCAAAGAACCATTTGCATGCTTTAATGGTTTTTCCTCTGTAATTCCTGTAATTTTAATTCCTCTAGCTTGTAACAATAGCACTCTTTTTGGTGCTATGTAGAAAAGGGTTCTATATAGAACCATATATAGCACATTTTCTATCTGAAGAACCCTTTCACCATGCAAAGAACCATTAAGAGTGTATGTCTAGATACTGATAAACATTGCACAGTTTTCTGATCTTTAAAGTTTACATCTTGCATGGCTGGTGCTGTTAAATTCAACAAACTGTGGGAAGATTGTTCTGTACTCAGTGTGTTTACGTGCACTTAATAATCCGATAACTGCGGAAAATCAGATTTTGTCAGTAATCCAATCAACGCATTTACATGCACCTGAATAATTAGATAATGTGAAAACTCGAGGTCTACACGATCAAACAGTAATCAGATTTCTGTTTTGCAACCAGCCAATAAACTCAAAGAAAACATAACGTAAACGTAATGACTTCAGACTCACCACCTTACCCGAAAATATGAACCCATATCTTCTAGAAAATAAAGAATAAAGAACCTTTATTTAGTCAAGCATGTAGTTGGTCTCAGCGTCGCTCCAAAAGTGTTTTGCCTGCGCCTCCCAGCAACACTGCTTGCTTATTTCTGGTACCACCGTCTGTTTTTACACATGCGCAGACTGAGAAATCCGAAAGAAATCAGAGTAAGAGTTTACAAGTGCTGAGAAATCTGATTACTGAGCTAAAATACAACTGTTTTTATCTGATTTCTTAATCAGATTTCTAGACCTTATTCCAATCTAAGAAATCAGATTGTGCCGTTTACATGACAATTTGAATAATCAGATAACTGCAGAAATCCGAATATAATGTTATTTAGAAATCTGAAAGAAAGTCATGTTTAAAAATACAGGCTGTTCATTGTGTTCCCTGTGATTTTGATAGATCTAGTGTTTTGTACCATCACGTTATCATATTTTTGTTATTTAAGGAACACTTTCATTAAACTGAGTAATGTAACCTTAGCTACACCTGTTGTAAACACGCATGTTGGTCCTCTACAGTAGTGCAACAGTAGTTCTGAGATTGAGTTTAACTACTAGAAAAACCCCTTTCTGATGACGTATCTGGAAGGTGGGGGGAGATTAGGCATGCGTGATATGGCTAAAATACAGTGTAAAGATATTTTAAATGGGATGGGTTTGGGGCCGACAGAATGCACCAGCAGTGTGTCATGTAAAAATACTATCAAAACTATGAAAACAGACTCTGTCAAGCCAGTGAGGCTGAGGGATGCAGTGGTGCACTACTGGATACAATAGTTTTAGGCTAGAATGCCCCTTTAAGCATCTGCAGCATCTGTAGATTATGATGGACTGTAATGTGTTGATAAAAGGGAAATTTAACTGTCCCCCAAAATTTTCATTGCGATGTGAACAATCTCATTCATGGTGGTTTGATGTGTAACTGTTCATTGTAGAGAAACTTAGCAGCTCAGATTTCTTTACAGTGGAGGAGATGGGAGCCAGGGGTCACAATGTCTAGAACTGAAAATGCCTAAAATGCCTAAAAACTGTTTTTGTCTTGCATGTACCTCTCTGCCATGAATGGATTATTAAAAAAATATGTTTTTGGCCAAAAATGTATTGCAAAATAAAAAAAGCGTATCTATAACCATTTCACATAAGAACTTTTTTTAGAGGCATTAAATGTTTTGGACGTCTGGTTCCTGTCACCACCGCTGCGAACAACTGTGACCTCTCTGCAGTGGAGCCCTTCAAACCACTGTCAACTTGACCATGTTTATTATTGGATTATACATAATTTGGAAAATCAGTCAAATTGCCATTTAAAATTGTAATTTCTAAAAAAGAAAAACAGAAACGTATTAAACCGTTGAATTATATGTAACAGAAGCCACTGGTCAGGTGCTTCAGCTAGTCTTTTAAACGTAAAGGGAAATTGTGAGTCAACAGAGTCATACAGGTGCGGCAGATGGTGATTAGGTGGAGGTTTTCCTACAGAAGCTTGAAACCTTGTGTCCTCTTTCTCTCTGTACAGTGTACCACTGGGTGGAGATGAGAACGAAGATGAGGATCATGGGTTTTCGCGGCTCCACCATCAAACCGCTGAACGAGGATGCGGCCGCAGAGCTGGGAGCGGAGCTGCTCGGAGAGGCCATCATCTTCCTCATCGGCGGTGGCTGCATGGTGCTGGAGTACAGCCGACAGGCCGCAAACTCCAGGCGGAAAGAAGAGGAGCTGACAGAAACCATCAACAGCCTGCAGGTGCAGATCGGAGAGCTCGCCCTGGCCACAGAGACTCTAGACGCTCAGATCCGAGAGGTCAACCGGCTTCTTCTGTCCTTTCCGTCTGCTCCCAGTAGCAAATAACAACACTAACGCAGGGTCCCGAGTGGAACTGAGGGACAGAGTATGTATATGTAGGTGAAGTGCGCTACAGTACAGAGGAAAACTGCCATGTGTAGATGAACATGCAGCCTTGTGGAAGTCCACATCAACATAGTTCTCTGTATTTTGGTCCTGAGGTTGAGATCTAGAGTCAAGAATACACCAGATGTTGTGGTGCAGTGAGTGATTGGCACAAACCAGACCCCTGGTCTGTCTTTTTCTCTTTTGCTGTTTGGCTGAACGTTGCATGTGTGGGGAGGAAATATGTAGGACCTGTGTACCTGTGCATATCATACTCTCCACATAGTATTTCACTGAGCAAAGCGCTTTAGATTAAAAAATAGTTTGGTTCATTAACCGATAGCTCTTGGCTTAGTAAGATAATCATATAAAAGGCTGGTCATCTACAAAGGAAAAGGTCACAGAAAAGTCTAACTTACAGTGCTCTCCTTACCACAGGGGTGTCCAGTCTTATCCACAAAGGGCCGGTGTGGCTGCAGGTTTTCGTTGCAACAAAGGCTCACATGAACAGCTGTTTAAATACTGAGACAGACTGATTAAACAAGTGTAATCAGGTGTGCTCTTCTTTTTCCGAACGAAAACTTGTACCCACACCAGCCCTTTTTGGATAAGATTGGACACCTCTGCCTTAACAGAATGTAGTTCTTTGACCAAGGCATGTTTCCAAAATTGACCTCTTTTCGGAGCTATGAGGCTAATGTGGCTAATAAGTAATGGACGTTATTGTCACCCAAAGGTTTTTTTTTATATATACATTGTATTATGTATACAGTACTATGAAAAATCAGGCTTAGGCTTCTGTTAAAAACCATATATCTTGGCAATAAGTGCGTTTCTGTCCATAAAAAAAACAACATAGGACATTAGATTAAATCCTAACAAACTCCAATGCGGGAAAAAGTAACTTTGATTGTTGAGATCTTGAAGCATAATTTTGAAGCATTTCTCTTGATCAATTTCTAAAATTTTCATACAAGGTAAAGAAGTAAACAAAAAAAAAACCAAAAAAACAAAAACGGGAGTTTTTCATACAAAAGTTTGGGCGCCCTGAACAAATGATGAAGTTTTGTTTATTTTCTAAGTGAGAACTAGTTAACACATCTACACAGAACACGCTTCTGCACATTTTAATCACAATTACTGGATTAATGGAAAAAACAATAAAGCATAAAATCTGGCTGGTGTAAAATCTATGGCACATTTTATATTTAATGTTTTAACATATTAAAGCAAATAAATAGTAATTGCACTATATTTTGCAGAAAAAAATACCATGTTTAAATGTTTTTCGCTGTAGAGGACGTGTTAACTTATTTTCACAACAAAACATGGAGAGCATTCAAACTTTTGCATACAGCTGTATTTTTTTATCATTATTATTATTATTATTGTTATTATTTAGGCTTTAGCGTATAGTTCCTTTGTAATGCTGTGCTTACATGACAGATAGACATTGTTTTGCTTTCCATGGAGCAGTGATGGAAAATTTCTGGCACTGCCAGTGGCAACAGCAGTCAAGGAATGTTTCATGAATAGTTCAGTTTTCCCAACCTCTGCCATCAACGTTGTTGGTGAAATAAGCCAGATATTGACTTTTTTGGGGGGAGGCATGGATGGTGAGAGTCTCATTGCTAGTCCAGATGTGCACAGTATTATACAGCAAACAATTTAAAAAATACTAGAGCTTCCTCCGCCTCATTCCACCTTAAATAAACAATCAGCGCATATAAAGCGCTCATCTAATAATCGTCCATTTTCGCCTGTAACACTGTCGCCATGCCAACACTTGGGTGGCTGCATGCCACATTGGTCGCAAACCGCTGTGAAGCACAGAACAGTGTTTTTACCAACAAGTAAATGCAGCATAAAATTGAAGCTGCGAGCTTTAGACACCAAACATGCCTCAGTCAGGTGACTACATTTGGGGCAAAAAGACTTTTTTCAGTTCTTTAATGGTTTCATGAACTAACTGACCACAGTTTCTCAGAATTCAAGACTACGGTTAATTTTAACCAGTTAGCTCATTATCCCATGCCTGCAGCGCCGAGGGAAGCTTTGCTTTTGCTTTTGACATTTGTAATCAGTGCTTTTTTTACATTTGACAAGGCCAGTGAGGTCCCCTTGTACTGTTTCACGCTTTTCCTGCTCTAATACACCCATTTCAGCTTACGACAGGCTTAATAATTAGCTAATTATCTGACTCGAGGAAAGTTGAGGAAACCATGCAGTGCAAAGGGGACTTTCTTTGACTGGAGTTGGGCAACTCTGGTTGAGGTGATCATAACGGTGTCAAAATCACACACAATTAATCCAGCGTGTTCCCAAATTCCACAGCTGTGCACTGATCCTGTTAGCCTTGAAAGACTTCCAAAGTGGCATGTGCATACAGATGTATATTGATTATTGTAAAATAAAATGAGATATTCTATATGATGGTTGATTTTGTATCTTGAGTGTGATTGTATTAAAAGTGTGAAAACATATATTGTGTGGTTGCAGATCGCTATATACGCTGTATGCCTAAAAGCACTCTGCTTCTATTTAAGCTACTTTAAGGTGTACCAAAGATTTTGTATAGTTATACTTTTGATAACATATAACAGTACCTATTTGAATTGTTATATGTGATTATATGTCATTTTTATAACTTTATTCACAACCAAATGTATTGCTTTGCTAAAAAAACAGACCTGTGTGATAAAAATACTAGATTTAAAATAGTAAGTGATAAAAGATACTACTAGATAAGTACTTTTTATCCCTATGATTTGATCAGTTTGAGATCATACAGACCAAAGGAAATGTCTAATTTCACATATGGACATTACTGAGTTAAGTGATGCCTGCAAACAAACCAATAAACAGGAGGTGGTGAGAGTCTAAATAGAATCACTGATTTGGTCGATTTGAGGTCATATAGACCAAAGGAAATGTCAAATTTCACATATTGACATTACTGGGTTAAGTGATGCCTGCAAACAAACAAACAGAATGTGGTGAGAGTCTGAATAGCAGTACTATGACTGTCCGCTGGGGGGCAGCAACGGGTTTTCGCGACGTCACTGCATTAGCTCGCTGCTAGCAGGCGGTGGCCGCGTAACAAAACGATAATTTCTGGTTTTGGGGGGCCGCAGTTTTTATATTTGAGGAGTTTGTAAAAGGTACGTGCTCTGCGGACATTTCATTTTATTATTCGTGTTGCAGGCGCATCACCGCAGCTGCAGGTTTTTATATAATATGTAGCTGTTAGCCTGTTAGCCGTTGGCGGTTTCTACGATGTAACTTCAGTGTAAACACGGCTAACAGCCAGTTCGCTAATCTTAATAAGACACCGTGCTTTGCTCGTTAACCTTGGTAAAAAATCTTATCTAACTGACCACAGTAAAAAAGGTGTTTAGTCGAAGGATTGTGCTCTTGTAGGGAACTGAATCCTAGCCAAAAGCAGTGCTTTTAGCCCGCTTCTTGTTCGTGTTTTCCGTTCCACCTTAACTGGTGCAGCAGTTACATTCCGCGCGTTGCTGCACCATTTAAGGTGGAACGGGGGAATTCGAACAAGAACCTGGCGAATAGGAATCTTAACTTCAGCCTTGGGTGCTTTTCTAACTCTGCTCAACATATTTTATTTTCTCTAACGTTGAATTAAAATGTGCTTCTGTAGCTAATGCTGGTCACAAACAGTGCTCCTCTGTTTGACCCCAGTCCAGAAAATCTTGCTCCTTCACTCTTTTAATCTTTCTCACATCATCTTTTTGAAAGCATCTGAATAGAAGTAACGTTAGACCGACCACAGTTCGTGCATAACAAGCACAGCCAAGATAGCTAGTTGGATGTTTGACAGCCACACTGTATGTTAAAATCAAGGGTATTGATAGAGAGTTTGTGCTTTTGCTGCAGTTAACAGCCCCCACTATGCTGGGCAGGTTACATGTAATGTATTTAGAAGAACTTGGAACTATTGTAGGTTCATCCAAAGTGTAACTATAGACAATTTAGCCCCTTTAGGCAAATCATAACCAATTTTGTGGCATGATCCCCCAAGTAAGAATCTGTTTTTATCTCTCTTCACGTTCAAAATGACCAAAAATTGATATTAAGCAACGAGAGCACCAGTAAGATCAGATACTGATGTTGAATGATTAGTTCTGGATCGCAAGCGATACTCATCTTACAGGTATTGGATTGGCTCCATCACTCCAGATAATGCAGTTCCACTGTTCCACAGCCCAGTGCTGGGGGCTTTAGCCCCTCTCTGTGGCACTTGGCATTTGGCGTTATGTGCAGCTGCTGCTCCCTTTCTATAGTGGAGTGCTTTCCTATGGATATTATACATGTTGTATGTCAAAAGTATTGAATTCACTATTTAGACAGGATGTCTGGATACTTTTGGACATACAGTGTAGTACTTGTTGGTCTTGGTCAGTCTCTTTGTGGTGCCTTGTGTTACTTGGACATTAACCCATTCTTTGGTGCTTTATCAGACTAGGAAAACAAGCGGAGCCTGTACTTCCACCCACAATGGATATTGATGTGAAGAAGTTGAAAGTCAATGAACTGAAAGAAGAGCTCCAGAAGAGGGGGCTGGACACTCGCGGGCTCAAAGCAGACCTGGTTGACCGGCTGAAGGCTGCTCTGGAAGCTGAAGAAGCCACACAGCCATCAGAGGATGCCACGGCTGGTGATGCACAACACACTGAAGCAGGTAGGACGATTCTTTTCCATTATGCGTTGCTTTTATGTTAATTTAACATTTGCATGCGATCAGATGACTATTTTCTGTTTACGTGTTTCTGTCAGCATAGGTTAGGGGTCAGAAAGGAGGATTTCTCCATTTACCAAATAAGACAGGCCTGTTGAATAGAAGGATTTTTGGCCAGTCCTCACTTTGGGCTTAAAGGGCATGAATTCTCCCCGTACCATTCACTCCCCAGTCCATATAATCCGTATATGGGAATTATGCTGCAAAAACCAGCCTGTTTTGATCTGTTTTGTTAGAATTATTTTTGTGATGTGATGAAAAACACCACATTTACATATATTTGCATATTTATCCTACAGTAGTTTAGATCCGCCCATTTACGCAGACGTTATAGGAGTGTTTTAACCCAGACTGCTTTTTAGACATGGCATAATACAGGGCAGCCAATCAGAACAGAGATTGTTTACATATATATGAGTTTTAAAGGCACAGGAGCAAAAACAGCCTGCTTGATTTTAAAAGTTTAAAAAAAAAAAAATAAAGGTTGAAAATTGTCATGTAACTATGAATTGTGGCTGTTTTGGATACAAAAAAACACACAAACATCAAAGTGGACCTCGAAATAATCAAAATGCATGCACAAAAAATAGGTTACTGAGAAATCCTGCTTTGTGAGATACCCCATAGGTGTTAAAGGTACATACAGATGCATAAACTCTAAATGTATATTGGTCAGTACATCAATATGCAGTTAGTATTCCACTGACACGTGTGCAATGACAGGTGCGGAGGAGGCTGATTATGAAGAGGGCTCTCAGCAGGGGCAGCAGGAAGATGAGAACACTCACTCTGGGGAACATGAGGAAAAAGTGGCTCCTGAAGTGGATCACAGTGCCCCTGACCTCTCTGTAGATGTCAGCATGAACAAAACAGAGATGCTGGAGGAACGTGAACCCAAACCAGAAACAGAAGCACAGCCTGTCTATAAGGAAGGTCAGATTGTTGTTAACATGATGAGTGCCCTTATCATGTGTCTGTAATGTAGCGTATGTGTCTAGTAATAATGATAATAATCCTAATTTATATTGGACATTTCATTTTAGTTATAAATTTAAAATGACTTAATACAGGAAGGAATGCGCAACATTGAAGATAAATAACATGGTCTGTCTAAAAAAGTAAAATTTGTGATAAAACTGGACGATTACAAATTGTTAAATAATAAAGCGAAAGAGACCCAATTAACTAGGCACCTGCTAGGCTAAACACTGTTGTTTTAAACTGGATTTAAAATCACCTTCCTGATAATCCTGATATTCTCTGCGTTCAGGAGATATATAGAAAAAAAATCTAACACTAATCGTAGTGGCCTCTGGTGCTACTTAAAGGGAAATTCCACTGATTTTTCAGCAATTCTGCATAATGCAGTTGTTGAGTTGTACAGAAAGTCATTCAGATTAGTTTGATGCAAAATGGTAGAAAAACATACAGACTCATATTTGTTTACGGTGGTGGTAATAGGAACCAGGGGTTGTAATGTCCACAGCACAAATATAACCGTTTTATTTACCATTTTAACCACCAATGAACCGCTTCTGAGTTGTTATGTAATATCGGTGATGGTAAAGTGGGAAATCTGAAAAAATGTTTTCTTTTGGAACTGTTTAGCCTTATAATGCCCTGCATGTGTCTCTCTGCCATGAATGGCACTCAGGCCAAAACCTTAACTCAAAAGTATCGAAAAACAATATTGTATGCGTTAGGCAGTGTGGTAGCTCTTAGAAGCAGTGAACACTTCCTCCTGAATAACACTGAATAATTGTCACTCTGTGAGTTTCTCAAGAACAAAGCATTTCACACCAAACCTCCATTTAATTATGGAGGAATTTTGTAAGTGCTTTTGAGCATAAGTTGAATGTATGAACTAAAATAGGGATGTACAGTGACACTGGATTCATATTGTTGTGGGCAGATAAATGCTCAAAAAAACGTTATCAGTGTTAGACAGATGTTTATATTTAAGAAACATTTCAAACCAGCATTTGATGGTGTTTTTTTATTGTACTGTGGAAGAGCAGAATCTGTAGATGATGCTGAGTTGCTGTGCTAAAATATATTAATTTTATTAATTGTCATATATTTGTAAGCATATAGAAATAAATACATTGCTAATGTTGCTAATCCAGGTAGCTGTAGGTCCAACTTCTACATTTTATAAATATTTGTGTATCTCCATCATGAAAAATATCACATATTGGCATTGCCTCACATTTCCTGTACTGTAATCTAAAACGCACACAAAATTTCCATTTTCCATCTCCTCCCTCCTCCCTCTGTAGAACAAGAAGAACAACTAGTAGATGTGAAGAGGGAAGATGAAGCAAAGCCAGAGGATCAGCAGCCAGAAGCAGCCAGTAGATGGGAGGACAAAGAGGCCCAGCAGGGCTCACAGCACAAGTCCCAACAGGACAGCGGCGCACACTACGGCCGCAAGAGACACTACGATGATAGCCACGGCTATGGCTACTATGAGCACCGGGAGGACAAGAGGTAATGGCAGTATGACTGGTTTTATGGTTTATTTTTACATCAGCAGTGTTTCCCAATCCTGGATCTGGAGTTCTCCTCTAATGCTCACCTGACTCAACTCATCAGTTAAAAAAAAACAAGGCTTTCGTAAGTTTAAAATAGTCAAGTCAGAGCGACTAAAAATTATTTCTGTAATTGATTAATCTGTCGACTGTTATGATTAATTGAAGTTAGGGCTGCATGATATGAACATAAAATGAGATGTTGCATAAAGCTGTTGGATATCACAATAACTATATGAGTAGCTTTTCTAGAGAAGCCCACAAAAACAAATACATTTATATTTAATGATGGTGCAGAATTGTTGTGACAGTGGCCATTACTGCTTCACATATTTTGCACACAACACTGAGAGCAAGAATAGTCGTCACAGTAAAAGCATTTTTATTATTCAGTAGTAAACACAGAGTAGTTTTTGCCCAGAGTAGTAATTGCCCATTTAATCAAATTGTAAAGTTATTCGCTCTTCACACAGGAAATATTTATTTCTTTAACAGAATGTTTTTCATTACAAATATGAGAGCTGTACAGTCTTGTGTAATGTGACTGATTTATCAAGCTGTCAAAAGCTAAGGTAAGAAAAGCTTAGCTAGGTAACTGATCTTAATATTGTTAGGTTTTGTCAGACATCATATTAAAATAAGTGTTAGCAAATACAGTAATCTAGACTCAAGTAACATTTGCATTCTTTAGAACAAATAAATTCATAGATTTGACACTGAGCTGTGAGCTTGGTCTTTCACAGAGTTTCTTTCACATCCAAAACTTAAAATTTGATTCACATGTTCTTCAGTAACACATTTTCTGCCAGTGCCGTTCTTGCTCTAGGTTTGTTCTGAGGAGTTTTGTTGGAATTTGCCTTTTGCCTGCCTGTGGAAGTAGCTTCTAAAGACAACTGTGATCAGCTGAAAGGCCGGTCAATCATTATTTTGTGGCCAGTTGACTTGTGAATGGTGGCACTCACTTCAAGGATACTCCAGGGCCGGAATTGAGAAACACTCTTTTAGAGAAATGAAGATTGCTGTTCTGGTTGGTTTCAGCTAATATAATCTAAAAACTGGCGTATGATTTAGGTCCCGCTCGCCTCAGCCACCAGCCGAAGAAGACGAGGACGATTTTGATGACACGTTGGTAGCCATCGACACTTGTTAGTGCAATTCTTTCTCATTTCCTTACCAGAATGTTCTCAGATCGTTCTGTATACATGCCTGATTATGATACTATATGCCCATCATAAGTATAGATGTACGACGTATAGAAGTAAGATTCTGTTTATTCACGCTTTTGTAGATAATTGCGACCTGCACTTCAAAGTGTCCCGGAACAGATACAGTGGCTACCCTCTGACTATTGAAGGCTTTGCTTATCTCTGGTCTGGAGCACGTGCTACTTACGGTGTGAGCAAAGGTCGTATCTGCTATGAAATGAAGGTAATTATTTCTTTCTTCTTATAGATTTAAAACAGTATGACCATAGGCTTTACTGAAATGGTTCCTGATCCCAGTACCGAGAACTCCATTTCTGCATATGCACCGATATGGATTTCTGGGCTGTTCTCGTACACTATATCAAACTCAACAATTAATTAATGAGCCCCTCCTATGCTTAATCAGGTGTATATATCAATCACAGAAAATTTCCAGAGTGCTGTCACAAGAACAGTATTGAGAATGCTTACTCTGTTAAAGTGGAACTGCTGTCAGGTGTTGTTTGGCACAGAGGTGCAAAACTAATTTGTTATACCTGTTCTGGCAGATAACCGAAGAGATCTCAGTCAAGCATCTTCCCACCAGTGAGCCCTGACCCTCATGTGGTGCGAGTGGGCTGGTCTCTGGATTCCTGCAGCACACAGCTTGGTAAGGAAACATTTCAGGATTTTTTTTAACATTTCCCCATGTCTGAAAGAACTTATAGTTTGTCTAAGAAAAGGGCAGAAGAGGTGAATTGAGAGAAACTTAATAGTCTAAAATTAATAGGAAAGGGCTAACTTGAAGTTGTGTCTATTTAAGCAGTATATGAGGAGCATGAGGCACTAAAAGAATATTTTGCACAAAATACAAAACATCACATGTTGCAGTAGCAGAGTTGATCCACAAGAGGAGAAGAGAAATGAGCCAGGTTTACTCTCTAGTAAAAAAAAATTGCACTAAAATATGGACGTTTGGATTGCAGTTGATGTGTTTTGCTCTTTTATTCTTTAGGAGAAGAAGCTTTCTCATATGGATATGGTGGAACAGGCAAAAAGTCCTCCAACTGTAAATTTGAAGATTATGGAGAGAAATTTGGTGAAAATGATATCCTCGGATGCTACATTGTGAGTAAAACTAGCATTTTTGTCACATTCCTAGACATTATTCATGATGATTGGAGATGATGATGTGTGCGTATTCCTGTCTCTTTCAGGACTTTGACAGTAGTGAGGAGGTGGAAATTGCATTTTCCAAGAATGGGAAGTTGTTGGGAGTGGCATACCGGGTGTCTAAGGAGGAGCTGGCTGGTCGGGCACTTTTCCCACATGTTCTGGTCAAGAATTGTGCTGTGGAGTTTAACTTTGGCCAGAAAGAGGAGCCCTTCTACCCCTCGCCAGACGGATACACATTCATTCAAGCTGTTAGAATTGAGGACAGGACAAGAGGCACTGTGGGCCCAGAGAACAAGGCTGATTGTGAGGTAAGTATTGTTGCATTTTGTAATGGTAAATGATTAATTATTCTGTTTTTACTAGAATGATCTTTAGGGTCCTTTTTACATCATTCTATGTTTATTGTATTTTTTCAGTTTATGTTTTGGTCAGCCTAATATTCATACATGCTACTGTCAACACTGCTGTGCATTTGTCTTAGATCTTGATGATGGTTGGTCTGCCTGCATGTGGCAAAACCACCTGGGCCAACAAGCATGCTGAGATGAACCCTGACAAGAAATACAACATCCTTGGAACCAACGCCATCATGGACAAGATGAAGGTAAACCTCACACTGTTACAGTGCCAGGAGCGTCTTGTCTATACATTTGTTGCAAGTCATTTATGTAAAAAATTCTATGTATGTATGTAATAGCACACAGATGGGCTCATTTAAAAGTGAATATATTACCAAACATGAATGAACTGCATTAGATGACATGCCGAAGTAGACAGACACCATTGTGCTCAGAGCTTGCTGCCGCTTTTATTAGTTTCCTTTGTTGGTGGTTTGTACTTTGATGTTTATTTGGCTGGCTTAGTTTGTTCTGCCTAAGATGCAAATGTAAATAAATGAAACGGCAAACCAAACTTGCAATTTTATACTTGTTCTTCCTGTAATGGGACACCGTGAAGCAAATGAGATCTGCATGAAGAGTGAAGAAGACAAGAAGGGCCTTAAAGCCTGAACAGTGTTGAACCTGAGGTGCATGCAAATTAATATTCCTTCTGTCAGTTTTAGCTTTTAGAGGCATTCTTATTTATCCTTGTCCTTAGCTTTGTAGTTTCCTGTGGGATTTCCTGATAATGAGTGACTTGGCTGATGTACTGGAAGATGGATGTTTTTAATAGGATGAAGATGGAACATTGCTTTGACTCTGAACATGGATTGCAGTCTCAGTTTTTTTAAGAACTGTTTTTGTAACTATGTGATGTCACATTCTTTCAAATGGGGCATTGAGCTATGCAAAATACCTCAGTACAATAATTCTGACACAAATCAGTAAACCTGCCAGATGTAGTCTACTGTCCTACTGTTCATCCAACAATCAGGACTTAACCCTAAGGGGGTTTTAATTTATTTTGAAAAAATTTTCTTACATTTATTTTTTTGGCACAGTTAAAAAATGAAAAATTAATGTGTATAAAATTTAATTTACAGTGTTTGCAACAACCTGTTGCGGGACCGAAACCCAGCACTGTGATAAAAGAGGAGGTAAAAACCTGCTGAATTGCATAGATGCAGACTGCATGATATACGAAGCAGCTTTTAAAACATTACTTCAGTTATTGCATGTTGTTTGCATTTCAGCCCCCCGATATATCTGAAAATGACCTTCCGCAGTGGGAGGTGGAAAAGCATGTGTTGAAAGATCAGCTGAAAGAGCGGCAGACTGAGATAGAGGATCTTAAGGTCCAGCTGGAGGAAAAGGAGGCGGAGTGCCAGTGGTTGAAGCAGGAGCTTTATCGCCTGTGGGAAATTGTCCAGTCAGAGCACCACGCATCGTCGTCCTTGTCCACTCAAACTAATGTTCCAGGCTCGGTTTTCGCAGATCACCATGAGGAGCCGACCCCATCCACTTCAGAAAGAAGCACTGACTTCCTGCCTGTAAATATCGGCTTCCCTGCCTCTCTCTTCATGGATCGCTGTTGGAGCAGTGAGGCGTCCGTTCTCCCTGATGTAACTTTAAGAGAAATCACTGCTGTCAATGATAAAATCTTGTTACGCATGAGCAACAACAGGCCAGACCGTTACGGAGCCCTGGTTTTCAGGAGCATCATTTCTCAGGAGCTTTATGAACAGTGGGTAATGAATACTAACTGGGACGGTTCCCGAGGCAAATGGGGAGTGCCCCGCAATGTTCGAGATTTTGTAACGAGGAGAGTAAGGGAGAGATTTCCTTACATGACTAACGAGGATAAAAAGGCAGTCAAAGAGCGTGTTAATGAGTGTTTAAGGATGCGGCGGAAAACGATTGTTCCAATTCCGTATTCAAGTAAATAAACTGATATGGATACTAGTGTCTGGCTTTAGCATACTGTATTAACTCTGATTTATTTATTAATGTATTTATTTTTAAACGTTTTCCTTTAGGTTGTCTTTGAACAGACCTTGTGGATTTCTTTGACTTGCTTCAATCTTCTGAAATGACGCTAATACAAGCATGTAGCTGGTTAATAATGTTGGAGTGCACGTAATGTTTTCAAAGAAACCTTTAAAATGTTTTTGAAATGTTTGAAGTGTTTTTAACTTTTTAAAATCCCAGATTTATTACATGCCAAGCTGTATTTTTAGGTAACTACTGAGCTACAATGCAAACTAGTTCAGTTATTCCTTAGTTAGAAGTTTGTAATAGTTGTAAAGTTTGGAGCTGCTGGTGGCTGCTGGCCGTTTAAGGGTTAAGACTGATACGAACTGATATATTAAATGAGTCCATCTGTTTGCATAATGAGGGTCCTTAAAGGACTCCTTTTTTTCACTTCTAGGCACTTCAGACACTTGCCTAGGCATTGGTCACCTTCAGTTTTTGTTACTAAATGTGTATTGTACTGATGGCCTTAAATGATGGAAAAGATGATAAATGTGCTTTCTGTAGATTCCTATTTCTTGCAAGAAATATAAGAGAGTATATGATACTGTTGAACCTCTGTGTCTTTTAAAAGTTGGCTGTTGGTTCCTGGTATTTGCAGCAGACTGACACCCAAAACGCCAAAATCTCAGAATGTTTGGACTTCACATTTCATAACATTTTAGAAATAATGTCCAAATTTGGCTGACGTCATTATTATATGAGAAGTCTCATACTTAGCATGATATTTTCTGGTAAAATAATCACATATGCGGCAGCTTTTGACCTACTTTCTATTCTATTTTAGTTTATGGGCTTCTTTATATTAACTGTTTTAATCAAAGTCTTTAATAAAACTCACATGTTAAATAATATGATACTGATTAGCTCAACATCTTAAGAACTATTTAATCTGCCATAATAATAAATGTTAACTACAAACGTGTTCATGAGCTTCTGTCACAGATTCGCAGTGACTTGTGTGATATCAGCAACAGCGTTTTCGTAATCCAGCTAACCACCAGGACACTTAAGCTGCACAGAAAATACTGTGGTTCAGCCGTAGACGAGGATCAAGTAACTTTCATCTGCATTTATTTTTGATTCCATTCACGTAAAGTAAATTAAGGAATCATTACACTACATAGGAGAGAGAGAGGTAACACAGGCAGTTTCGTTACAACCCCCACCTTTCTCTGTGAAACTGACTACAGGTGCGCGAGCGCACGCACTTAAACGTGAACCCCAGTTTCGCAGCGCGTTTTTCAATCTGTTTAATGGTAAATTAGTCCTCTCTAATTATCGTCTTTTACACATCGCCATCGTTACTTGTCATCGACGATATCCGATTACATCGCCGTATCGCCCTGGCCTTGTCCAAAGGACAGCTGATGCTAGAAAATATTCATATATGCGTATTGCGTGCAGTTACACATTTCCACCAGATAGGTTTCCAAAATTTTATGTAAATTTAATGTATAGAGTTTTCAAGCATTTTCAGTGTTGCAACTGAATATGAATAAAATATGATTTCTTATTAAGTCTCAACCAGATTATAGAGATGTATTGTACATTTGCCTGACACATTACAAATAATGATGGTACTGGAATCCGTTTAGAACAAAAACAAGCTTCTGCTGCAAATCCTCTGAGAGAAACATAAACATTATGCCATCATCATATTCAAATAACCAAAAAAGAGATACTATAGTCCTTCATATTGTGGTTGAAGGGATGCATGATCAGAATCAGTAGATTTTTGCTCAAAACCAGATTTTGATATTTTGATTTCATCCAGTCTGTTTTGCAATTTTATGATAAATGTTATATGATTGTTATGATAAATAACATGAGGCAATTAAGTGCTCTTGCGCTGTACTTGTGACCAACATGTTGTAGCAAAATTTTATATTACTCATTGTAATAAATAGCCAGTTGTCTCTTATTTTCAATGTAGCAGTTTATTTGTAAAGAATTTAAAATGCCAGTTTGGCCCTTTAAGGAACAAATGTTATTTATATAATGACTTTGGCTCATAGAAAGTACTGGAAATATTGTAGTGTGTTTCATTTGTTCATTTAGCCTGTACATTCTGAGCTTTGGGTTTAAAAAAAAAGACTAATAAAAAACAGCCATCGGCCAATTTGACTATAAAGAAATCGGCCATAAAAATTCATGATTGGTGCATCCCTGCTTCAAAGCATTGTTCAGTGTCCACATCTGGAAGGCTCCCTGTGTTGATCGTAGGTGATGGGACTGCGACGCCAGAGGAACTACGCTGGCCGCTGGGATATCCTGATCCAGCAGGCCACCCAGTGTCTGAACAGGTTGATCCAAATCGCCGCCCGCAAGAAACGCAACTACATTCTGGACCAGGTACTGCCTACAACCCCCATAATTCTCTACAAAGACAAAACTGTAGATGACCTCTCATGCCCTTTCTCTAATGTATTATTTATTTATCTTTCAGGGAGCCAAAATATGATAGAGTAGAAGAAGCATCAGCCTCTGTTGAGTTTTGTTGTGCTGTATTGTAAAGAAATGCTGCTATTATGTAAAATGACAGGAAAAGTGCTTATCACTGCTGTTCTCGTCAGTATCTTGAGCATCCCTTATCTCTCATATTGCATATTGTCTTGTACAAGTAGTCCATTACAGTGTTAAGATGTTGAGAGACAAGTAATCTCTGCCTGGTGAGTAAGAAAAACAACTTTTGTTGCTACGGTAATTGTAACAGAAGTAACCTTTGTAGTGATTTTTAAAGAGACCTCAGGATCATGTTCACAGTTGGAAATGTTGAATGTTAATGTTTTGATGAAACATTTAAGGTAAGTGAGAACTAACATGTTTAGCTTTGTAGGACATTGTTTGGTTTGCAAGGTAAGTAGGGTCAGATGGGTGAGCCTTGGTTACCTTGGAAACAGTGAGTATTCTCAGGTAAGTAGTATATGTGTGTATATGTCTGAAGGACTGAAGCACCAGTGCTGGACAGGTGAGTAAAGGTAAGTTATGGGACCCTTTAAGGATAGTAGAGTTACGCTTTTGATCCTTAATTGCTTTCTTAACACATTTTAAGCACCAGTAGAGCATATGGTAATTTATATAAGAGAGACTCATGGAAAGTTAGCAATAGAACATGAAAGGCTTTTTGTTTGGTTTGGTTTGTTTTTTTCCACTGTACTGTTAATATATATATTTTTTATACATTAATTACATTTATACATTTTATATATTTGTATTATTACGTATTATTTTTTACAAAGCAGTAATTTTGAAACAGAATCAAACCTTTTAGACTTCAGCCTTAGTTAATAATACTCATTTAGCATTTTTCATTATGAGGATTGTTTAACAGTCACCAAGTCGAATTGTAAAGGGAAACCTCCCCTGATTTTTAAAAAAATTTCTGCATAATTAAATACCTAAAAGTGGTTTGATGTGAAATGCACTTTTCCCAAGAAACTTACAGAGTCAGAATTTATAGAAAGCTGCATTTCAGTATATTTTGATGGCGTCTATAATGAACATATGTTCAGTTACTACAACAAACAAAAAAAAATCAATTTGGAGGAACTTGATTTAGGACAATGACGTACTGTTGCACAGTGGCAGCACGCAGAGAAATACATAATGAAAACATATTTTAGTATTAAACAATTAGAGTTTTTGAGAAATTTAGTTTGTCCAAGAAACATTGTCATTGTTTCTGGACCTCGATCAGCTAGAGCTGTTAGCCTAGTTAGTGGTACAGCTGCGCTATTTCTGACTTCTCTGTTACATCCTGAACAACATGTCTTTGGTACCGGGCCTTCGTGAACTCGTTTTTGGAAGTAACAAAATGTAATATCATATACGTACTTACTGGGAGTGAGGACTAAAGTAACCACATTTCACAGTCCAAAACATAAAATCTGTTTTTCATTGAACTGGTCGAGTAATCTTTTTGGTTAGTTGGTTGGTTAGTTAGTTAGTTGTTTTTGTCCCTTTAGTTCCCAAAAGAACTGAAATTCCTGGCACTTCTCAGTGTTAGAGTTACAATAGAAATCAACACAGCTGTCAGCCCATGGCTGCAGTGAAAATGGGCATTGGAATTATAATGTTGGAAATACACCTCCTATAAGTAATCCTGTTCTATGCCATTATTTCCTAAAGAACACTGTGATGGCCTGCTGGGCTGTAAGAGTCACCGTGTCATACCCATGTTGCTAAAGCTTCCACAGTTAGCCTAAGAATTTTCCCTGGCTATAATTTTGTAAGCCTCCCCATTTCTTTGAAACACTGAAATCAAGATGTGTTAAGAGAGATCCTGCGTTTACAGAAAGGGAAGTAGCAAAGTACAGGTTCATTTGTTTGGCTTTAGTGTTCACTGCTGAAAGACGCTCGTCATGAGGAAGCTGAGTGTGTCCTCACTCAGCTGCTTGGTCAGTGTAGCTGAGGGGCAGGGAATCAAGTGGTAAACACAGAGATAACAGGCTGGCTGGTTAAGCCGATTCATACAGGCTGTGAAATATCCCTGCAAATAAAAAGAAATTGCTATCAAACATTGAAATATCTTGCCAAGGCATTGGTAGCAAAAGGGATTTATGTTTATTTAACTCATGTTTGAACATTGAATTTGGCTATATGTTCAGTAAATCAGCTCAATTACCTATAGAAACATATAGCTGAACAAAGATTTACATTTTGAACTTGGATCCATGTCATCACTGCTGTCTAGATAGGCAGAAATCGTCAGGTTCCTCTGTCTCCATGTCTGATAGATATCATATCTGAACACTCTTTTGAGTGCTGTGAGTCAAAAGCGATATTAGAGATCATAGGAGCCCTTTGTGGCTTTATAATGACCTGCAGATAACATGTTTACCATTCTTATTGCAAACTAATCACTAAGCCAGTTTGCAGAGAACATACATTTTAATCAGTGATTTGTAAAAATTATTATTATTATTGTTTGTTGTTGTTATCATGATTATTATTATTATTATTATTATTAGTAGTAGTAGTAGTAGTAGTAGTAGCAGCAGTAGTTGTATAATTTTAAACAAGTAATTGGTTATAACTGTGTAATCAGGATGGCCATAGATTGAAGTATACTGCCACCATTTACATTTACATCATTTAGCAGACGCTCTTATCCAGAGTGACTTACTAAAAGTGCTTTGTCTATCCAGAGAAAGTATCTTCGCTAGTTACCTCGAGAGAAAGCCAGTCCTGAGCTCAGATACTGCTAGAATCAGAAAGTCATTGACACCTAGAGAAAAAGGAACAGAGTTAAACACAGAGCAGTGCAATACAATACAATACATAAGTGCTGTACAATACATTACAATCAATACTTAATTCAGTGCTCATTGAAGTGATGTATAAACAGATGTGTCTTCAGATGCCACCATGAACAGTTAGTCATGTACTCGGTTACCCATGCACATCTGTACTAGAAACCAGATGCCTGCATTTAATAAAAGCTACCCCACAGTTATTGCATGAAATGGTTATGAATGAGCTGCCTGGTTGCCAGTAGTTTTGTTGGCCAGTAACATTTTTTAAATCACTTAATAGAGGAAAGGTTATTGTGGGGCAAAATAGCAAAACTTTTTCCTTTTTTAGGACTAACATTATCAACGTTATAAACAATGAGTTGCTAACCACTCTATGTGACTGAAATATGCAGAAATTTTAAAATATCAGTGGCATTCCTGTTTGAGTTACTAATATCGTTTAAATGCTTTAGGAATGATTTTTAATCTTAAACAGCTGATGGATGTAGTGCTGACCTGTTTTTGTATTGCAAGGAGTTTAAAGCAGTTCTTTCTTTTGGAGTCTTGTTTGAAGCTATACCTTAGTTTTGTGAAAGGGTCCCTATTAACCCCTTTGTTGTAGGTGGGGACGATGAGGTGTTCAAGGTAAGTAAAGTGGAGCTGTGAGAGGCCATCAGTAGTTCAAAAGGGGGAAAAAAAAACCTCTCTCACTTCATCATTGCAGGGTTCGAGTCGCCCAAGCCAGAACACAAAGTAACAATAACGAACAGCTTCTACTTCTTTCTTGTCACCATTGCTAGACAAATGTATATGGATCAGCCCAGAGACGAAAAATGCGTCCTTTTGAAGGGTTTCAACGCAAGGCTATTGTAATTTGTCCCACGGACGAGGATTTAAAAGAGCGAGCGTTAAAGCAAACTGATGTGGAAGGGAAGGATGTGCCCGATCATGCTGTTTTAGAAATGAAAGGTAGGAATGCTGTGGATAAAAGCAAACCACTTTTAAGTAAAACAGATTCAAGATCTATGCTAAACTATTTGTTTTTTTTTGTTTTACAATCAAACTTGGACAATACCCCTACCCCCTTCATCATTGCTTACTGCCAGAACTTGCCCTTTGAAGGCCCTTTGGCCCAAATTTGATTTTTTTTCTGCCCCACCCCTCCCTTTTGTCCTGTCAAAGCACTGCAAACTGAGCAGTATACTAATAAAAACAGATGCTTACTGCAGCTTAAATAGGTCTATTGTTTGATCTGAAATTTGTACTGAGATTTCCATCCAAATTGGCATAGTCCAGAATGTTTGGAGGTGCTTTGCCTCTGACCGGTGCAACATCAAGGCATTACTTGGTTTGCAGGGCACTGTTCGCTTCCCTCACCCCTTAAATCTAAAACTTTCTGCCTGTCTGGATCATTCAGATGTTCTTTTTTTCAATTTTTCCTGTCTGTATAAACTAGAGCAAATATTGAATCCTTGCCATCAGGGACGCCATGTTTGCTCCAGGCTTTATTGTTTTTGTCTGCCATCTCCACGTGGTTCTGTGTTCTCTTTTTCATCCCTATGTTCTTCTTTTAGTATTGTGAAATACCTCTTACGTGATATTAATTGAGCTTCTTCTTTTGTCTCCTGGTGGTGTGACTACCTGCCTCCACTACATCCCCCTCCCTCTCTTCTGCTTTTCTTTTTTCCACATCTGTCCTTCCTCCTCTTTCTCTCTTTTTCTCTCTCTTTCTCTCGGCTGTCCCTTTCTCACTTTCTGGCATGATGTCTGAAGCCAACTTTGTGCTGCCGGAGCCTGGAGACTTCCTGGACGAGGTGACCTTTGTTGAGCTGCAGAGAGACGAGGCAGAGAAGCTCGTGAAGGAGTACAACGAAGAGGGCCGCAAGGCAGGGCCTCCGCCTGAGAAACGTTTCGATAACCGGCAGATGGGCTTCCGTGGCCATAGCGGAAGTGGTGGTGGCAGCTTCCAGCGCTACGACAACCGTGGAGGCCCACGAGGAGGAGGAGGAGGCGGTGGCTATCAGAACCGCAGCAGCTCAGGCGGAGGAGGAGGCGGCGGATACAGAGGAGGTCTTGACTTGCTTATTGCTTATTGAGAAGTGCTCTCTACTAGCAAAGTGCTACATAGTGGACCATGTAAAATAAAATAAAAAAAACTAGATAATCTTTTTTTCAGTGCTTTAAAGCTGCACTATGGAAGATATTTTGTTAAAATTGAAAGAAATTGCATTACTGAGTTGGGGGGGCGGCGATGGGGAACATGCTAAAATATGAAATATGGTGTGCATGCATGGCAGCGAGTCACCCTGTAAAGCCTGAAGTCATAATTGAGTCGGATTTTTTGAGTTGGAATTGGATTTTTCTAACCACGTCATACATCTTTACGTATTAGCATCACAAGCATAGGCTGAAAAAGAAGCTCTGGCTTGATGTTTAGGTCTCTACGGAGCCCCAGTGGTGACATCCTGTATAAATAAAAATAACGCGTGGCCACGGCTTAGTAAGACATGCGAACAAGATCCTAATGCATAGACACAACTTAGTATGGCATTAATTGTCTCATTCCCACGCCTTACTAAGTCGTGGCCATGCATTAGGATCTCGTTCCCATGTCTTACTAAATCGTGGCCATGTGTTATGTTTATTTATACAGGATGTCACCATTGGGGCTCCATAGAGACCTAAACATCTCAATTGCAAAATCAGTATTATACTGATGAAGATTTGATGACAGATGTTGGTATATTATACTATAACACTAGAACATCTGGAATAAGATTCTGGAGTTGATGAGCCTTGATCTAGAACGTCTTCTAAATCTGCATTAAGAAGTGATGATACTCATACATCTGGATCAGTAATTCAGACACCAAATCAGAAAGCCTTCATTCTGTGTGAATCATTCATTGGAAGTAGAGAGTTTTTCTCCTTAATTCTCTCCAATGTAATTCAAGTCCTGTACAAATCAGGCTTAAGCGCAGAGACCCCAACAAACAATATCTTACATGTTGAATGCATCTTAAATTGTCAGGTTACAATCGTGGTGGCTACAACCAGAATCGCTGGGTTGGGAATTACAGAGACAACAGCTCAAGAGGCGGATACAACCGTAACCAGCATTCTGGAGGAGGATACAATGGCAACCGCCAGAGTTCCTACAACAAGGATGGATACAACCAGGCAAGTGTTATGTTCATCAACAATGTATATATTACTTGAAAGGATACCTTTGCACAGTGTCTTGTAAGTCTCTCATGTGTTTAATGTAGGGGTACAACCAGGGATACAACCAAGGCTACAACCAGGGCAACTACAACCAAGGCAGCTACAACCAAGGCTATAACTATGGCAGCTACAGCCAGTATCCAGGATATGGCCAAGGCTACAGTGATAGTCAAGCCTCAGGCCAATCATACAACCAGCAACAGAGCTACAATCAGCAGTACCAGCAGGTAAGCTGGTATTTAGAGCTTAATTTGATTTATCATTGATTGCTGTTTGTCTGTAAAGTTGACTCTCATCCAGTACCCAGTAGAAGTGGAAATCACAGGGCATCTCACGTTACGATATCACGATACGTTGCCCACGATAATGATGATATCACGATACTGCGATTCTTTGATCCTCGAAATATTGCAAGACAGTTCTCTATGATACATCTGTGATATATACTCTTAAATAGGCAAATAGCAGGAATTATGTATTTATTAGTGTCAGTTTAACAGAATGTGACAACCAATATAAAACAATGTACAACAAAGTGCAGAGCTTAGCTTCATGCCTCTTTAACATACATATACTGACTGCTTGTGTCATCATTCCAATGTAAAATAGCCATAAACTGCCAGAAAGCAAAACCGTTCTGGGGTCTAAAGGTAGAACACAACTTTGCCTCACTAAAATCTTTTCTAACTGTGCAGACTTACAGAAAAAAAAATAAATAAATACATTTCTACAAAAAATATATAGGCTGACATCGAGTTGGGGCAACGTTTGGTTGTTTTCTCAACAACCAAATCAGGATGATGACGAAGAAGGAGGCTATGCATGTTCGTGTGCTTTATTTTAACGAGACGGTTCTTGCAAATCGTAGAGTCTTTGTCTATTTCCTTTCCCTTCAATACTGTAAAAGCCGAAGTGAACCCAGACATTCGACTTGAAAGTGGACGGTGCCTGTCTGATTTGTTCCCCCCTCTCCCCCACTGCCGTTTCTCCCCTGTGAGTTTCTTTTTTTTTCACCGCAAGGTTACCCTATTCATTTGATGAGCACCTTAGCGCCACCATGTGGAGTGATGAAATAGTGAATCTGGTAAATCAAATTGGAGGGGGAGTCTGTTTAGAGTGTTTACAGCGCATTTTTCAGTAAATAGTTCGATATTTGGCACTAATATATCGATAATATATCACAAAAAATAGCGATATGATATAATGCCATATCAATATTTTATCCCACCCCAAGTACCCTGTATCAGTAATTCTCCATTGTTGCTTTTTCTCCAAAAATGTGATAATGTTAACATGGCAGTAGGGTAGGAGTAAAATGAATAGGTTTGTTATTTTAAAAAAAAACTTGCTGGCTATTTTAAATTGGATTTTTTTTATTTCTTTTTCTGAACCATGCATATCTTATTTGAATACCCAATTAAGTAAAAAAGAACACTGAAATGTGTTCCAGCCACCCCGTCCTCTTGTCTGTGATGCTCTTCCCCAAGGTTTTAGACCTTTTGGAAAAACTGATGCCCATCTATCCAGACCCCACTACACCACTATGAATTGGTGCTGGAAAATGCCATTGTGCCGTTTGTCAATGTTGTAATTAACATTCTGGCTCGCTCTCTCCCACCAGTATGCCCAGCAGTGGCAGGAGTACTACCAGAACCAGAGCCAGTGGAACCAGTACTACAGCCAGTATGGCAACTACTCCGGGCAACAAGGCAATAGCCAGGGATCCCAGGGCTCTCAGTGAAGTGCGTGTGCAAATTCCATCCCGCTACTGTCATCCATCTTATTACACACTCACAAACAAGCATGCGTGCCCCATCACCTTTTACTGTAACTCCATCCTTTTGCATATGTTTCTGACATCCTTACCTGCCAAACAGCCAAGAAGCTGCATCTTAGATTCTTTTGTAGTTTGAGAGAAAACATTGTTCTAGTTGGAGAGATCAGAGAAATATCCTGTTATCTTTGTTTTGAACTGTACATTAAGAATGTCACAGAACAACTGTGATCACATTTAACCCACGTGCATTATGCATCCAGGTACTGTTACCACAGTGACAATGCAAAACACTACAGGAAATGACTGTATTCATTTTATGTGGTAAATGTTGATTTAGCGATATCATTGTGACTGATTCCTTCCTATTTTTATATAGGGGCGAAAAGCAAAGCATGTTTTTCTTTAACGTGTTCCAGTTTTGTGACTATCTATCAGGTACAAGAGGAGATATAAAACCAGGCAGTGTAAAATGACAGCCATTTAATTTTTTTTGTAGATTTGCCAGGTTTTAATTCCACAGATTGTGTTATAGAAGAGATTTTAAGAATGTTGATAATCCTAATTCACTTATTACAATGATATGTCTTTTTTTTTTTAACTTTTTTTGGAAACAGCTTAAAAGACTTTGTTCTTTGTGTTTGTACAGTCTGGTTGGATCATTTTTTTCAGTCTGAAAATAAATTCTCATAATACACAAGTATCAATGCTGTATGTGACCTTCATTAGTGAAAAAGACTGTACAGCCTGTTCATCAGATGTGCCCCTATTCTGGTAGGTTGGTTTCTTTTCTCAGTGACCTGCTAGTTGCAGGTATATTTGAGCAGGAAAACCACCAAAGGTCCTGTCCCTTTTGGCCCACTTGCAGTCCTGGGGTCTTCATTTGTGCATGCCTGTGCCTGTGAGTACTGCGAAGTGTCCCATTTCTCATTTCGGGGTTCAAAGAGCCAATCTCAAACATCTGTGCTCGCTTATTATGGCCTTTAGTGAAGGTGCAGACTCTGGAGCAGCCTCTTACCTGAAATTCTGTACAGGCAGTGACCACTGTTTACAGCTGTCTGACCAACATATCTGATCTATTATGAGTTGTGGTATGCTTGTAATCTATTTTGAGCTGTAAATAAATTAGCTGCATTGGGGTAAACATTATGTCAACTCATAATTTCGCTGAGTAGACTTCGTGTATATCCTTTGCGATACACAAGTCTAGCCTGATGTCAACAATGTGCTGACCTATAGGGCAAGAAACCTTGAGGGTACTTGGTTTGAGCCTTAAAGCAGAAGCTGCCCAGAACTCCAGCCAAAGTTCTCAGAATTTCTCCCCTCCTGCAGTCTTACAGTCTCTTCTCTTACTGTAGCCATTCCTTGAAGGTGTGATCAGAGCTCACAAATTCTTATTAGATCCTAAATAACAATGTAAATTGTATTAAAAAATTAAAAACCTTAATATTTTGATATATATTAAAAAGCAGACACTCCTAGTCCCCATTTTTAAAAGAAAGATGAGTAATTCATATTAAACTCTGAATAAGTATATGGTAACTCAAAATGTACTTCCGAGCTGCATAAATCATTTTCAGTCATTGTTTCCACTCATTTTGCAGTTGATCAGGTTCCCCAACCTTAGAGACCACTTTTCCGATACCGATATTGAAACCCTGAGTATTGGCTGATAGTGATTCAATATGCTTTAAAGGGTCAAAATCATAGAAAATTGAATTTCCATATTTCATTAAGAAAAGAGTTTGATGTAATATGTAAACACTGTCAAAGTTTCAAAACACATCATTAATTCTCCAGTCGATACTGTTCATATATGGAAAATAAGCTGCATGAACGGTCAGTTTTAAATTGACTGCTTCTGTGATGTCACAGAAACAAACATGTTTATCTCATTTCTCATATTTAGTCTAGAACAGTTTAGGTCCGCACATTTATGCTGAAGTTATGAGGAGTGTTTCAGCCTGGCCTGTGTTTTTTTTTTTAAATGAGGCACAATATAGAGCAGCCAGTCAGAACAGAGATCATTTACATATATCAGTCTTAAAGGCAAAGTAACAAAAACAGTCTAATTCCAAGGGATAAATGGTGAGATGGCTGTAAGATAAATGGCTGTATTTAGTACATGAATTCACAAAAACATTATAAGTGGGCTTCAGGGTACAAAATATAATAAAAATGTAGGATATGGGGCTTTTAAAATCTGTTAAGCTTTAAAATTAGTTAGTTTTTAATGGGGATAGGTTATCATGCTGTTTCAGGACAGATTTGTTACAGAATCTGATCACATTCTCATTTTTTCCTCCCATCAATCAGCTGGTACCAATACCCAGTACCAGAGCGGTACTGTCTGTACCAAAAATGACTAGGACAACACAACTCATTTTAACATTTAGCATTTAATGCAACCATAACTAATTCTTTTGCAGAAAAACAAAACAATCCCTTTTTTTTTTTGCTGTTTAACAAAGAAGGTCATGGTCTTTAGGCAGTGCTAGGAGATGGAAAATACTGTAGATTTGTGGCTTGACAATAAATAAAAAAAATAATCTACAGCCTAAATCCAGAATTTAGTAAGACACATTCAAGTCGGAAATGACAACGTAAAGGTTTGGAGCAATGTTGTTAGAGGAATGATCCAAAAAAAAACACATACACGTCCGCAGTGTTCATTTTCACCATTCTACATCGTCTCATTCAGTGTATTCGGTACCCTTCTTCCCTGCTCAGAGTGAACTGTTCATTGCATAAGGCACAGTGATGCATTATAGGATTATCGAGGAGTCCAGCACCAGACAGCATGGCCTCTAACCTGTTAGCAAGCCAGAGCGCTTACATTCATTCCTATGACACAAGCTAAGGGGACAATGGACATCCTTGCACATCTCACAGTGAAATTCACAGTACAAATGGCGTCAGTGTGAACATAAAACGCTGTAGGTAAAAGTCAAACCTTTTTTTTTTTTAAGAAATATAACTTCTGATTTATACAACACAGCTCTGGCATCAAGCACCTTTCTGTTCACGGTGAAGTCGATTGAGCCACGCAGACGCTTATATAAACAAAAAATCCATGAGAAGGACTGAGCAGTAGTGAGATCAGTTCTCTGGTAGTCTGCCTTTGGATGCTTCTGTAGAAATGCTGTTGATTTCGATATGTATAGTTCATTGGCAGTGGATGCTGGTGATTAGAGACCTGGTGCTTCGCGTCCAGTATGGCTCTGAAGGTGTAGGCTGGCTGAAATTACGTTGTGCTACTCTCAAGTTGGTCCCACTCAGGCTATTGTTAATGCATGTAAAAGATCATCTCATTGAAACCGTTCGGTTCTCTGTACAGTGTAAGTTCATGTATCCTGTTCCAGTGTGTTTACATAGTCCATTCCCAAATGCCAAATGTAGATCCAGTGTCTAGGTGCCATGTAAGTGTAGTGCCATGCGAGCTTCAGTCCGGCTCTCTGCGCTTGTCTTTGTGCAGTTGTAGCTCTTCCATCTTCTCCTGGAGGAACGAGCTGGGGGCAGAGGAGCCCCTCATTCTTGCCGGCAGCGTGGCACTCTACAACAATACGAGGAGGGAAGGGAAATTAGTTGATGCTCACTCAAAAATGTATCTCAGCAGTAGCTTAAGATAGACATATTAATGTGTAATATGTTTAATTATGTAAAAACGAGATGGAAAATATATAGTAACAATGAAAACAACACAATACTAATACTAATACTACTTATAATAATCATAGTAATATAAAACGTGCCATAATGTTTGCACCGGCCAAATTTTGTGTTTTATTTTTTTCTTGTAGAGGATGTATTGACTTATTTTCTCTTAGAAAATTAATTTCATTTGATCAGGGATGCCCAAACTTTTGCATATGACTGTATCTACTGATTAGGGATGTAATAATACAGCATATTGCATTTTGTCGCAGTGCATCGTATTGTATCGTGACTAGCATGTTAGCTTATGGCTTTGTTAGCATATAGCTCATGTTAGCTTGGGGCTAATACTACATTTGAGTGGTGTCAAAACCGGGAAATACCCAGTTTGGAAAGATTGAATAAAAAAAGGCGCGGTATCATTTGGTATCGAGCATTGTGATACTGCACTTGGTATCAGAATCAAAATTCTAGTATCATGAAACTCCAATTGTGAGTATCAGTGACTTATTCAGTCATAAAATTAAAAATTAACATTTATTTTTTAAATGATTAATTTCTAAATGATCGCTGTACAGTACAGTGGATATCCACATTGTCAAGCTCAGGCATCTATTCTTACCCTTTCCACAGGTGAATGTAGTTTGCGGTTTGCTACTTCTGGCGTCCAGACTCCGGGATCTGTCTGAGTGGACCGGTCAGACAGTGTAGCCCCTTCTGCGTCGCTCTCTGGGCTGGTGTGACCTTTGGAGTTCTCTGATCCGTTTCCGTGAGGGAACACAAAAGTGTCTTCTTCTGAACCTTAATGAGCAGAACAAAATATATTAAGGAATAAGCTGGGTCATCATGGAGTCCCTAAACACAGACTGTCGCTGCTTTATATGTGGACTTCATGAGTAGTTAGGCACGGTCCACCTCCCGTTGTAGGTGTTGCTCAGTGGCCCTTAGAGAACACATGGTTAAAATCAGGTATACATTGTTTTTTGTCATCTTTAATCTCTGCAAGTAATTCACAATGGTGCTTTCTTTTTTTTTACATTCTAATAAGCTTCTATCATGTTTTTAGATGCGTCCTTTGTTTTCTTTGTGTTTTGATTTCAGTAAAAGTCTTAATTTCCACCTTTGCCACCTTCAGATTCAGATGGGGACACTCACTCCAGCTGTTGCCCTTTGGCCTGAGGCCGGACCCTGGGCCTGGAGTACAGGGACAGGAACCTCCAGAAACCTTGAACCTCTTCATGCACTCCATTGCCACCAGGTCCTTACAGTGCTTATGACAATTCACTCCACAGTCTGGGAGAGAGAGAGAGAGGGAGAGAGAGTGAGTATGTGAGTGAGTGCGAGTGGGCATGCTTGTATTTAGAGTGTCTGATCATAGACTACAAACAGTACAGGGAATTAAAATGAAAACCAAAACCAAACAATATTTTTCACTGAATTTTCACAAAATTGAGTAAAAGCTTAGATAAAATGTGCTTTGTAGGTGAGTTATTAACAGTATCAGTTTATTCTGGTTCATTTTTATAGAATTAGGGAAAAAGACAAAATTTGAACACAAAAAAGTGAAGGGTGTCATGGACTTAATTGACCATGATTATTGACATGACCACAGATTTATTTATTTTTTTTCATGGTATAGATTGTTACGAGTGGGCTTTACACATAAAAGAAATATCAGTGCTATCTCATGGCTAATACCACCTTTATTAGTAATAAACATGTTTTCCATTAGACGTCGGCTGTTATTCGATCCAAAAATGTGTTAAATCCAAAGATGTTACATATGGACATTCAGCATCTTGGAATGAAACTCTAGAAACTCCTGGTTCAAGTGGTAATCAGTTGGAATAAACTGAAGAACCTTGTGTAAGAATGGTTAATAATATACTTATCATACAACATTTGCGCCCAATGGGCCTGGGTAAAATGTAAAATGACCGCAGCACTAAGTCAGCAGTCACTGCTACATTTGAAATAATAACCCCATTTTAAAATAAAGTTTTCATTCTGGAACTGCTGAAAGTGATTTTGTTCCTGTTTCTGATGAGTTTCTGTGATAAATGTTGTTCATTTTCAGTTTTGTTTTCATTTCCTGTTAACCATTTCTAGTACCCCTTTCAGATTAAGTGTCTTTTTTTGTAAAACGTTTGTCGGATCTCACTGACCTTTGCAGTGGTAGCCTTGCTTTATGACTCCCCACAGCTGACAGAAAGGGAAAAAACAGAAAAGAGAATGAATGAATACATATAAACGCCAAACAGTTTCTTCAGAAACAACTTTGAGTTAAAACAAGTATTCAAACACTTTTGTTCATATTATTGGGCAGAGGAGCCCCTCATTTTTGCCAGCAGCAGGGCACTTTACAACGATACAAGAAGGGAAGGAAAAATAGCTGATGCTAACTCATTTTTTAAAAAATTGTAAATTTCATAACCAGACACGTTTTTATTGGCCCAGTAAGAAATGCCAAAAAGTTTGTCCCAGCAGTAGCTTATATATAAAGCAGTAGCTTATCATCAGCTCCACTTACTATATAGGTGCCCTTTGTAGTTCTACAGTTACAGACTGTAGTCCATCTGTTTCTCTGCATACTTTGTTAGCCCCCTTTTACCCTGTTCTTCAGTGGTCAGGACCCCCATGGACCCTCAAAGAGCAGGTACCATTTGGGTGGTGGATCATTCTCAGCACTGCAGTAACACTGACGTGGTGGTGGTGTGTTAGTGTGTGTTGCGCTGGTACGAGTGGATCGGACACAGCAGTGCTGCTGGAGTTTTTAAACACATCAGTGTCAGTGCTGGACTGAGAATAGTCCACCAACCAAAAATATCCAGCCAGCAGCATCCTGTGGGCAGCATCCTGTGACCACTGATGAAGGCCTAGAGGGTGACCAACACAAACGGTGCAGCAGCAGATGAGCTGTCGTCTCTGACTTTACATCTACAAGGTGGCCTGACAAGGTAAGAGTGTCTGATAGAGTGGACAGTGTTTAAAAACTCCAAAAGATGTTGCCATTAGTTTCACACAACAAGTAGCAATCATAATGAAGGTCAAGGAGCTTAATAAAAGTTCTCAGAGACAGCATTATTAAGCAACAATCTACAGAGCCTTGAGAAAAGACCTTAAACATCCCAATCCGTACAATTAGATCCACAACTAATCCAGGTGGACCATGCTAGATTTCTTAACGTGCTCTCAGACTAATGATAAGGAAGGTAAGAGTAAAGCCAACAGTCACTCAAAAAGAGATGCAGGGTCACCTATATGCAGCCAGAACAACAGCTACACAGAGAACAATAAGCAATTAACTGCACTGCAATCATGTCCATTCCTCCCCCTGTAAAAACCTCTTGGTATTAAAAATGCAGAAAAATGCATGTCTAACATTTCGACACAGACAAATTAAAGGTTCTTTGGCAATAATTCAGCTTGTCATGTTTGGAGAAAGGCTGCACATATGATCCCAACAACTCCACACTCGCAGTGAAGCATGAAGGTGGGAGCACCATGATATGGAGCTACTTCTCTGCAAACAGTACTGGGGCAATAGACAGCATCGAAGGAAACATGAATGGAGTGATGTACCAGGACATACTAGATTTAATCTCATTGGCCAAGAAACTAATCTGGAGAGAAGATGTGGATGTTTCGGCAAGACAACAACCCCAAACATACAGCCAAAATAACCAAAAAAATTATGTGAAGAAGCTTGCATGGCCTATCCATCTCCTGGGTTCAATCTTTTTGAAAAGGATTTTGAAATGGCGACTCCATCATAGAGACCCTCATAACCTTGAAGAATTGAAAATGGTTTGCCAAGAGGAAGTGGCCAAAATTGAACCACAATGCTGCAAAAAGCTAATCACCTCTTAATGTAGATGTCTCGAAGCTCTAACTGCTAAGAGCTAATGTTATTGATTTGTGGTGTCTGAATATTTTTCCCCCATCAATTTAATTTTAGCTTTATTTATGCTTATACACACTTTGTTCATATTTAGTATAAAGTATGAGGTCAAAACATGGGCATTTTTAAATATTATAATAACCCATTAAAATCCCAGGCTGAGTAACTACAGGGACTTCAGTACAAACTGGTTGAGGTTTCTCAGGTTACAGAAGTGTGTAATAAAACTCTGGGCTGCCGGTGAGCCCTGGCCATTTAGGGGTTAAATAACAAAAACAAAAATGTCTGAATACTTGTTTCACTGTAATTAACAGAACATATCTCATATCTCCATTTTGGTCGTTTTTGAGTTTTTGACATGCTTTAAAAATGCCTGTTGCCCTTTACATTGTGTGCAAGTTTCATGAAGCATGGACCAAAAAAAAACAGCCCAAAATGACTTGGAAAAAAAGTCTGGTTCTTTTGACTTGCTTTAAAAGTAAAATATGTTTTTTCCTTCTCCTGTAAAGTTACCATTTTGGAGATATGAGGTTTTCTTACGACAACAGCGATATATTTCTATATGAGTAGAAGTTTTCAATACTCACAAAGCCACCGCAGGTGTCGCAGAAGGTGGGCCTCTTGTACGTGGTTTCGTGAAAGTTGTGCAGGTTGTGCAGGTTGAAGCCCAGCTTAGCACACACTGACATCCCTCGCATGAAATACGACGTAATCTCCTCTCTACTGATCTCTCCCTCCCTGAGAGAGAGAAGGAACAACATAACAATGATAAATAAACAAATTCTTTTGTATGTAAAATGTTTTATATGAAGTTGGCAACACTGAACTTTTTTTTTTACCTGTCGCTGTCATGCGTGCAGAACGAGAAGGGGAAGTTTGCAGCTATCTTTTCAAAGTCCTCCAGAGAGATGTAGCCGTCCATGTTCAGGTCGTAGTTCTTCATGATGGACTGCAGAGGGAGACAGAGTGTGTGAGCTGACTTAAAGGTTTCCTCTTGACGGTTTATCTCATTTTGGGTGTGAAGGGCTTTGAATACAGTACATTAAGGAAGTGAAAGAGTGCAGGCAGGAACTGGCCGCCGCTGTGTGCCTGGGAGAGCGTTTCTTACTTACGTCCACCATCTGTTTGACATGCTTGGAGATGGTGTCAGGGTCAAGTCGAGGAGCCACGCCTGACCCCCACTCTGCAACCACGGGGGGCTTCACAGGGGTTACAGGCTAGAAAGAGAGAGAGATAAAGAGAAATAATGTAGATGTGTTTCAGCCCCAACATTATCTGTTTTTGTCTCACAAAATCACTGACTTCTAAAATGTGCTGAAAAAAAAACATCTGAAAGTGAGAACTTCCCCAGTGCGCTCGCCACTTTTAGTACAACTACTGTGTTTACTCTGGGAAAGACAGGACATGTTGTACTGCTAATACCCTGATATTGAAAACCACCAAAAGGAGGGTTTCACATTGGTTGCACTCAACAGCCACAAGCTGCCATATTTAGCGGAAGGGGCCGGGCCATCATAGGAAGTTGCAGTTTGAAATTTTTAAACATAAGTTAGATGCATAGTCAACCTATAGACACGTTTCTGTGAAACATCATCTCAGAGATGCGTGCGCAGCTAAAAAGCAGAAAGTGACAGAAAGTGGCACACTTCACTTGTCGTTGTTGCTGTGCAGAGAAGATGGCTGCAGAATGTTTAGTTCTCAGTAATTTCTCACCAATTTATTGGTTATATGGTCATCGGCACGGTCCGAGCTACTTAGGCTTCGTATGTAAGACCTAACAAGCTTGTAAAAGCTTGTGACTAAGTTGTATTTACGACTGGTAAACTCAGGAGATGTGATGTATAGCGTGAACTTAAACCTTTCATGAGGTTTAGTGAAAAACGCTAAACTTGCTGTAAACTTTCAAAATTTATTATATAACTATTATATAACTTCTATTAGATCTATGTGCTTTTTAACACATCAAACAAAAACCTTGTCAGGACTGTGTTCTCTGGATCTCCATGCTGTCTTTCTCTGTGTGGTGGGCATGTCTATGAACAAAACCCCTAACAGAGTTCAGTCGTATTTACTAGTCAGCCCTACAACCTTCTGATGACACCCAAACACAGCATTAGCTTAGCAACACTAATGGTATCACTATGTTCCTGAAATTGTCAAATAAGGAGAGGACAGACTCATCAAACAACTAGACCAAGTAAATTCATAGGAGATGTCAGCAAGCCATAAAGGCGAATAGCAAACTTAGTGGGGTGTTTATCATAGAGACCTGATGACTAGCCGATACTAATAGTCAACTACTGTTAGCTAATGTATTACTTAATGTTACATTAAAATACAAATGCAAGACAAACAGATCCAACTCTGAAATGGCATTTTACTATTGAGTCAACATGAGTTTACAAACAGTGAGAACCCAGTAATTATATAATTACTATAATTATACAATTTACCAATATACAGTTCACCTTTTTTGGCTAAGACAGTTTGTCCTCATAAACTTTAGCCAGTTAACTTCAATAATTCTGTTGTGTTCTGGTTTGTTTTTTACTTTGTGTTTTATTTGACAGAGTAAATGGTTCTTTTGTCATGTGAGCGCTGCACACGGACAAAACAGATATTGCCACATGCAGCACAATGACTGAGGCACAATGCATTAGCAAAATGCATCTGCACATCTGTCTCATCTTGTAGATAAAACTCTGCCAGCTCATCGCAAAACACAGCATGACTCTGCTCTCTTTGACTTCCTTTGTTTATTTTTGTATGTTTATTTAACTGTGTGAGATACAGTTTTGGTAAAAAAAAAAGTTTCTGATTCTGTATGAAGTGGTTCGTAGGATGACGGGACAACAAATAACAGTAAAGAAAAGTAAAACTGTTATGGCTAATTATTTTAATGGTGAAATGTATTATATGGGTATGCATGGATGTATGGAGGCTGCGAATATAAGGTTTACTGTCTTTAGTGGTTGACACCTATATAGATGCCTTTGTCGATCAGTAACTTCATTTCTATGTGACACTATTTGCCTGAAGCTATTATGTAGTTTATTGATCCTACAAGGAAAATTTGTCATTTTGCTGCCTAACTATGCCCAGCAGGGCAGCATCACTTTGGGCAGTGGAGGGGTTAAGTGCCAAGAGCACAACCAGCCACCTATTTCAATACCGGTTTTAACAAGCTCTCATCCAACTGGCCTCATGGTTTCCTCTCAAGGGCATCTCAACACCATCTCAAGGGCTATTCCACTACTTTATTAGCTCAAGTGAAGAATGCCAAACGAGCCCTTGGAGGGGCGAGGGATCAAGTGAACACGACGTGTTGACTTCAGCAGCAAAACCTAGAAATCATTGCGACCTGGCGCACTTCCCTTTTCAAATCTGAAAATAATGCCAGACAAAGCTGTTTATAAGCCATAGCAGAAAAGTACTTCAAAATTCTTAACATTTCCAAACCATATCCTTCAATTTGCTGGGCTTTTTGCTGATACAACTTCATCACTTTACTCTGCTAGCAGGCTAGTTAGCATGCTAAAGCCTACACGGCTAACAACAACAACAACAAGACAGGCACCACACCCCATAATTCTACACCAAGTTTATAGCCAGACAAAGTAATTACTCACAAATGTTATGTACGTTATGCCCAACATTTGCATTGCAAGCTGATTAGCTCACTGAGGCTAACTTGCGCAGGAATACGCAGTCAGTACAATTTCAACATGCTGGAATGATAACCCAGTATGTTGTAGCTAATTTTAGCTTGCTAACATTAGCCAACTGCTAACATGGTCATGACTAAATGACTGAAGTACTGTGTGGTAATGACATTTCCATTTAGTGCGAAGCATATAGTATTTGGTTTAAGACAACACAACCCCAAAAATCTGTGTATAGTTTAAGAATAATATAGTGGATGGTACCCAGATTGAGTTTACAGGTCTTTTCAAAAGTGTATTGACAGTTATTCTTTTTTTATGTCACACAAAAATACTGAAAGATGATGGAAAAAGATTTTTATAGCCTACAATTTTTTTTTTTCTCTCACAAAATCAGTGACTTGTGAAAGCTGGAAAGATGAAAGAAAGAAAAGGACTCCAACGTGCTCAGCGTTTACAGGTAAAACACAGACAGGCGCATACGTCGGCTGGTAGAAGAGCCTTCGTGCGTAATAATGCCCATGCTCAAAGTGAAACAGATAACGATCTGCTGTCTGTAAGAGCTCCAGTGCTTTTTTTGTGGTTTTCTTTGAAGTGTGTATGCACAAAGACAGAACGCTCTGCTCCATGTACACACAGTGCATGGAGGGATACTCCCTACCTAGAACCAGGTCACAAGGTCAATTCTTTTAACATAAAGCATACTGTAAATATGCAAAATAGTCTATACAAAACAAAACCTAGGTCAAATCTTATCAGATAAATCTACTTGCATGTTGTGTGTTGACATAAATTGGCATTATATTGAATCATACAGCAAAAATCAGTTGGATGAGGTTGCAGACAAACTGTATGTCTGCATGACACCCCAATCCACATTAACCTAGTTACAAAGGCATTAGACTATACTTGCTTTTATCTGCTTGTCAGTGGTCACAGCGATTACTGCAGCGACTTAAAACAGGAAATCAAGTTTTGCTACGTGCTACTTGCAACAAATACTGGTGCACTGTTTGTCTGTCACTAGCAGAGTGCCATCTAAACTAGGCATGGGTGTTTTTTTTCAGTTTAAAAAGTCCACTTTTATTGGCCCCTTTGGGGTCAGTGAGGTTGTCAGGGTATGCTGAAAATAGTGACACATTGAATTTGCTTAATTTACTCAAATGTATGGCAGCACATTCTGGACTTTATTCAAATTCACATGAAAGTTTGAAAATGCTATTTAAATGGAGTATAGATGCTTTTCCAATGTGAGTGTGCATTGCATAATTCAAGTTTAAATGCAAAATGTGTATTTGCATTTGCATTTCTGTGCATAATGGCTGTTAAAATTAATATGAAAAGGCAAAGTGCTTTTGACATTTCATTTTCGATGTCTTAACGATATGACTGACATTAAAGCTTGAAAAACAATCGCCCGTTTTCAACGGCATTTCCTCATCGTTGCGCTCCAGCTCTGCCAAAAATGAAAATGCAACTACAATCTCATCTGCAATCGCATTTTCACTGTCAACAAGGCTTTTTGTCAATCAAACACTGTGGGCGGGATGTCAGGAGGAACTTTTTAGTTTAATGGTTTAAGCAGAAGTGGTGCGTCTAAATTTTGGCGTTTCTGGAGCAGATCAAGATGGCTAGGGTTAGGGTTAGTAGCAACTGTTGCTAGTGACATTTTTTACACTCCACCAGGCCAAGGAGAATTCTGTCCAGTGATTTTGAGTTGTTTTGTGTGGATGTGATTCCTGACCACCTAGCAGACTTGTGGCGGCACAAACACCAATGTTAGTGACATTGTGACTGGCTTCAGGCAGAGGCTTGCACGACCGTCAGAGGAACAGTGGTCCTGTATTACCACTGCCCTGCATGTTTTAGTACTTCCTCTGCTTTAATACACTCGTTACAAACACTCAGGAGCTGTAAACAAGATGGGCGGCCCGGTTTTCCAAAATCATCTTAATGGGAAATACTGTGTTAACTCACAGTGGTCCTACGCTTCTATAGTAAGAATATCCATCATTGGCCATCAGGTCCTCCTACAGTCCTGTGAGCCTCTGCCCAAATCTGGTCACGATGTCACTATCATTGGTGTTTGTACAGCCACAAGCTCTCCTAGTCAGTTAGGAATCACTTCCACACAAAACAACAATAAACTCAACAACACAACACTTTGGATACAATTATCCTCGGCCTGGTTAGTGAGTATTAAAATGTCACTAGCAGCTGTTGCTATTGCACTAGAACTGCCAAAGTTTATACTTTTTCGTCACTTCCTTTTAAAACACACCCTACCCTACAAAGCCCCTCCTGATGTTCTGCCCGCTGCGATTGATTGTTGACAGGAGGAAACAAGCTTGCAGTTGCATTTTCATTTGGGAAAGCTGGAGTGAGACGGTGAGGAAATGCAATTGAAAATGGGCGATTGTTTTTCCTTTTTTAATATTTTAGACCATTAAGACAACGAAAGTGAAATGTAAAAAGGACTTTTCCATATTAACAGCTATTATGCTCCAAAATGCAAATGCACATTTTGCATATGAATTTGAATTTAAATTTAAATGTCTTAAAAAATGCACACTTACGTGGGAAATGCAATTGTAAATACACAGTTAAATTAGCATTTTTAAATTTGCATTTGAATTTAAATAAAGTCCAGAATATGCTGCCAAACCAATGAGTACATAATTTCTACATGAATAAAATATAATACATCAATGCATTTTATTCATGCGTACATTGTGTACTCACTAAAGCAAATGCAGCGCTGCTTTTTCAGTGTATAGAACAGATATGGACCATTATCGTATCTCCGACAGTGTAACAGCACATTTACACATCTGCAGTCTTATTCAAAAGTTTATGCACCCCTGGACAAATGATATGATTTTCAAAGTGAAAATAAGTTAACACATCCTCTAGAGGGAACACAGTTTGGACATATGCCAAATTTGATGCTTTATCATTACAATATGTGAAATTTTAGCAAATAAATACAAAATGTACATTAATTTTGTGAAAAATTGCCATATTTGAGTTTGTTCCCTGTATAAGATGTGTTCACCTATTTGAGGTTAGAACATTTTTGCATACGACTTAATCATCAATCCATTGTGTGAGTTTGCTTACCTGTATTTTGGGGTTTTTGGGCTCCTTGGCATAAGACAGCTCGTAAATCTCATCCTCAGTGTAGTACAGGTCCAGAGAGAGCTGTGTGGAGGAGAGTAGAAATACACACAGGTCACACAGAGTTTAGCACTGCTTTGTACCCCCAGGGCCTGCTGAACACCAGCAAACCACAGTGCTCTACTTTGTATTGAAATATTGGTTCTTATTCCAGTATATTTTCTGTTTTAACTCAGTCACCAGTCCTGGGAACACTTAACCCCCATAGTTTTGTGGTTAAAGTGCTGCTGTCTATAAAAATCAGTGGTGAACCATGACTATTAGTGCTAGGTCTTCAAATGCAGGCAATAAATATCAATGTTAGTTGAAAACAACACCTCTATGACAATGCTAACTTCTGCTAATGCCCCAATGGGATTCTAGAATTATTTTAGCGCTAAGCTAACGGCAAGTCACATGAACATTTTTTGGTCGTTCTAGATTAAACACGGACATTTGAAGCTTGTAAAAGACATTCCATGTTTATTTGAAGCTTGTAACATGTGTTAACATATATTTTTCCTTGTAGCAGTTTTTAGCAGTGACTTTTTCAGTAAAGAGACAGAGCCACTGCTGGGGTTTTCCATTTCTAACAACTGACTGACATCTGGTTAAATTATGACCCATAATCACAGTCAGTGACATATAGGACTTTCAGAAAGCCTAGAGTTATGGTTCTTCACAAAATGTATCCCACCCATTGTAAATCAGAGTAAGGTTGGTTGATTCCTCTGTCACTTACTAATTTAGTAGTTAATCTGACACTTTAGGCCTTCAGTTTAGCTCCTGAAGGCCTAACTAATAGAAAAGCTCACAAAAAACCCTGATTGGACAATTTTCCACTGAGTGTTTCAAGGAATAAACCCTATTTGTTTCCAACCAAAACTTATCAGTGACACATGAGTGTTTCTACCATACCTGCAGAGTTTAAAGACAACAAACATGATATATTAAACACAAATAATCTAAAATGACATATTTTTTTTTTATTTTAAAGAAATCTTTACAACTTCTGTGAAGGCCTAGAAGGCTCTGGTGGTTCACCACTGATAAAAATCAACAAAAGTACACTGCACAGCTAAAAACTGCAGTAGTAGTTAATTTGAACCTTGATTTTTGTCCGTACGTTTCTTCTGTTTTCACAGATAACATATACAGCATCAGAAACCTCTGTAAAAGATTACTTAACCACTCTACATGGTTTGAGGCAAGTGTATGATAATTTAGGCATGTAGTTTGAACAATACTAAATAGTGTACATCATGACATTTCTTGTAAGCAACATTAGCTTTGCAGCTCCAGGGCCAAACTAAGGACGCAAACTTTAGACACCTCACTCTTCTTTCACCCTCCAACAAACAACACCTCACCTTAGAGACGCAATGAAAAAATGGTTTTGGTTCAGTGGCTACATTTGGTAAAGGGCTAATTGTGTCAGTCTGACTGTTTACTGACCTGACTTCGGACAGTAGCTCATGCGGGACGAATAATTAGCTGATGAGTTTAAGCAGAGAAAAAAAAAGTGTGAAATCGGAACTTAGATGCAGCTGATAAAAACCAGCCTTAATCAACCTGTTCTAAATTGAGCTGCACTAAAAGCACCTTTGCCTTAAAGCACATCATTCCAAGAACCATGTATAAATAACAGAGTGGGGCCACAGACCAATGCGGGAAGGAAAAAGAAAGAGCCATGGAAGTGACATGGCTGTAAAATACCTCTGCAGGTTAAAAATAAGCACCCCTGTTGTTGGGTCAACGAATCAGGCAGGTGTATAGGCCTAGAAATGTTAATGTTTTTCTATTAATATTTTGTGTACAGCAGCATCAAAGAGAAGACGTATTTATAACAACACCGGCACTCAGAGCGTAACTCAACACAAATACTTCTACGAAGAGACGATTCGAGTGAAACAACCCTGTCCACCTCTCCTCTTTCTCCCCACTCAACTCCCACCCCCAACAAACAACACCTCACCGTCAGGAGGTGCAGCAGATCCTTGTTGGCCTCGAAGGGCGGCTTGCACTTGTGGATGACTAGCAGGTCGCTGATGTTGCTGTACAGGTGCTGCAGCTTGCCCAGGTTGATCTTGTCATCCTCCAGGTAGTCCGGCAGCGCCTCGTTCAGGGAGATCAGGTCTTTGAGATGGACGCCCAGGATGGGCACTTTGAAGCCAGTGCACTCGCTATAGACGCGTCTGTAGTTAGTGTAGTTACTGTAGGAGGAGAGCAGCTCTGTCAGCTCACTCAGGCTCTGCAGACAAGGAAACATAAGAGTTGAGAATGATGTTTCATTTCATTACATAAAAAAACACATTTGGTGTTATTAGGATTATTATTATTTAATTAGAAAAGTGAGAAGAGGCTGGAAATCCACATACATGGATACAATGCCTTACACTGGTATGCCAATGTTTCCATTTTCAGTTTATTAGAGGATTCCACATTATAAAAGTACAATATGTCGCTGCTGTCAGAACAAAACCTCATATCTCCAAAATGTTGACTTTACAGAAGAAAAAAAACGTCCTTAATTTTATATGGAAGTTAATGGAACTAGATTGTTTTCCAAGCACTTTTGGAGCATTTCTATCGGTCCATTCACCCTGAAATTTTGACACATTGCAAAGGTCAGCTGGTATTTTCACATTCTGTAAAAAAGTGCAAAACGACAAAAATGGAGATATAAGGTTTTGTTCCGACAGCAGCGACAATGAAATAAAAGAATGAATACCCTCAACAAAATTACAAGTCAAATTACATGTTTGAAAATAATATATTAACACAAAATATTAACATATCCTATAAACGTCGAACTTTTCTGTACACAATTTCCATTTATTTGCTGAGTTTAAAATATTGAAAAATAATAATAATAATAATTTTTGTGCAGGCCGTGTGCTGTGTTTTCTTTTGTTAAATTAAGCATGTAAACAGAAATTGTGCATTAAAATGTCTAGAAGTATGTTCTCTGTGGGGAGGATGTGTTATATTATTTTCATTCAGAAAGTCAACAAAACATATACTTTGACGTGCGAACCCAAATTTTCCATGCTACTTTATAAAAAAAATATATATATACATACATATATATATATATATATATATATATATATATATATATATATATATATGTATATATATATATATATATAAACAGTGTAGTTTGAAACAAGCCACTTACATACAGGTGTTTGGTAAACTTTAGAGTTAGAAAATGTAGAGTTGGAACCATAATCATTATACAATAGTATGAGTTTCTCATTAAAAGATAATTAGTGGAGTAACTGCCTTTGTTAATATATTTCAGGCAATCACTCCTGTTATGATGAGGGAGGGTGGGGTATGAGTAGGTGTGTGCAAACGTTTGACTGGTAGTGTATGTAATATATCAAATTACATAAATTACATAAATACTATATGCAAATGCTTTGGCACCCCTTGTCAAATTACGTTTCATTGATTTTCTAAGTCAAAATAGGGCAACAGTTCCACTACAGGGAACACACCTCTGCACATTTTAATGCACAATTACTGTTTATTTGCTGTATTTAACATAAAATGTGGCCTGTGCAAAAGTTATGGCACTTTTTTTTTTTACAATATGTTAAAGTCAGCAAATAAACAGAAATTTTGCTTCAAAATGTGCACTGAAGTTTCCCAAAACATACCATATTAACGTTGTTCCCTGTGAAAGATGTGAACTTATTTAAAAAATTAATTAATAAAATATTTAATACAATATTCAATGATATTGAATGATGTTTAAATATGTTTACAATAACAATAATAATAATAACAATAATAATAATACAATTATTAATTAAGACATAAAAAGCTAGAAAAGTATTTATTTATTTACTCAGTATTAATCCTAATATGATTTTTGATATTACAGTGTATCCTGATATTATAACAATCGATTGTTGTTTGTGTCTCTATAGCACCTCTCATACATTTACAGCATAGTTGCACAAAGGAGATATGGTGAGCAAACACCCCTAACAAAAAATTCTAACGAATAAAGAAGCGGTAAATAGGAAGTACAAATGAAGGGCTGACTGATGTGGCGGGTTCAGGCCTGCTGTGGGAGGAGCCGTGTGTTTCTGTGAAACGGCCGGGGAGCTCCAGTGTTGGGCGACGATTCTTAGGTATTTCTGTGAGATTACGCTAACCTTGGTGATGTCAGAGGAGAGCAGGCTTGCCGTGTCTTTGAGTCTGGAGATGGAGCTGTGGCACAAACCCCCTATCACTGCCATCAGAGTGTTGAAGTTCTGCAGAGCTCTCAACTTCTGCTCCCGTACACGGATCACACATACAGGGAGAGAGAAAAAGGGGAAGAATGTGAGAAAGACAACAGCTCAGAGGTTACAGTTCCATATTTCTGTCACTATTCATGTCACAGTGAGTGCATTCACGCTCTGTCCTCTCTGTGTATGCATGTGCCCCACTGCTGGGCAGCCATGGACCCTGTTTCCTGTAAAGTTTGTTCTCGAAATGGCCAGGAAAGTTATGTAAGCGTCCTGCCAGAACCTTTCCTAATACAGGAACACGGCTGTCAAAGACAGGCCTAAATGATTACCAACCGCTCACATCACAAGACACAGCAGCTCATTTCCTATGAGTTTACTTAAGTTCGCGTGCTTGTGCTTGTGTGGTGAAAAGGCACAGCCAGTTCTCAAGGGCAGAACACAGGGCTTGCCTAATGACATCACTTCCTGTGATCTAGCCAACAACATCCTAAGGTATGGACTGGTTTCATTGGGTGTCGGCTGCTGAGGTAGACATGGGTCATGACTCGCTTCATTTCCACAATACTGGAAATTCATCAACACAAAAATGAACTAAACTAAAATAAACTATGTGTCACTCTGAAAACATCTGACGTAACTCTCACACATAGCTCTGAGACCCTGAGAATACACTGACACAGGGTCTTGAAACACACTTGTCACGCTTTTTTTTACGTCAATCTTGTGGTGAAAACGCATTTGACCATTGCAACATTTCATCCACTATGTTATCGTAATACTGGTATTTCAGAACATTGTGTCTGTATTTATTTCTGTGTGTATAAAAGTTTTTGTACAAAATTAAGACAGTATATATTTATAGATATATCTGTTGTCGGAAGCAAAACTTGTATCTCCAGAATGGTAACTTCACAGGAGAAGGAAAAAAACCTGCTGTACTTTTATTGTAAGTCAATGGAACCAGATTTTTTTCCCAAGTCATTGTGGGCTGTTTCCTTTGGTCCATTCTTCATGAAATTTACATACAATGTAAAGAGCAACAGGCATTTTCAAATTATGTGAAAAACTGAAAAATGACAAAAATGGAAAAAAAGGTTTATATATATATATATATATATATATATATATATATATAGTTCTTATTTATTTTTTACATAATTTGAAAATGCCAACTGTATTGTGTCACTATTTAGAATGGACTAATAAAAATGATCCAAAATTAGTTTGAGTACTTACTAACTTATAGGTACCTATATAATACATACATTTACCTGAGTGGGGATTTACCTGTGCTACATGAATGAACTTTGTGAAGACCTCAGCCCTCTGTTGTGGAGTGTGTCTGTTGAGTATCATCAGCTGGACCCACTGGGACACTCCGTTACACAGCATGACGGAGCGCTCCAGAGCCGGGTTATTTCTCACAGAGCCGTGCACCACGTAGCTGCGGTAGTCCAGGAACTAGCACAGCAAAAAAACACTCACTTAACAATCACAGAATCAGCTTAACCATCACAAACTCAGCCACATACTGAGCTAATCATAGTCTGAAACTTCACAGTCATTTCAGGACAAATGAAGAGTAAGTTGAAGTCAGTCATGTGTTAGTTTCAGTTTACCTAAATATGACTATACTATACAGAGTACCGGTCAAATGCTGGGTTACACCTGCACATAGGAGAGGTTTTCTTAATTGCTGACCATTTTCTAGGCAAGATTTGTTGTTTTAAAAGTAAAATTATGTTAAGGGAGCCAGTTTAACTTACTTTTTAAAAACCAAAATATCAAATCATTTTTATAGTGCATGTTGGGATAGTAATAAAGGGACCAAAACCATGAAATAACATATATTGAACTAGTATGCAAAAGTTAGGGTGACCCTGGTCAAACAATGTTTTGATTTTCTAGGTCGAAATAAGACAACACTTTTTACACATTTTATTTGCTGAATTTGACATATTGGGGGGAAAAACATAAAATGTGGCTTGTACACAAGTTAGGGCACCATTTGTATTTCATGTTTTTTCAAATATGTTAGACTTCGCAAATAGAAACTGTGCAATAAAATATACAGAAAATGCCACATTAAAGTTTGTTCTTTTAGAGAATGTGATCATTTATTTTCCAGTTAGAAAATCAACAAAATGTAAATTGACCAAGGGTGCACAAACTTTTGCATACCACTGTATGTAGTGTTAAACAAATAACAGGTTAAAAAACCTGTTTCAGATTCTTAATGCTTTTCCAACAGGCCTGAGCAAGATCCACATACGCTGCGACCTTATTGGCTCCTGGAAACTACTTACTGGCATTGGTCAGTCAAAATTCACTTTGTTTTAAAACGTGTTTTGGAAACAAATGTTAGTATTTATCGTTCTCTTAGAGACTTTAAGCAGTTAAGCATCAGCTGTTAGTTCACATTGTCTCTGAGGTGTTTTAACCAGTTGCGCTGGTAGGCTACTGTACATATTACTGAGCTCCTATCAGTCACACCGACTTAGGTTTAAATGGTGAGTGATTAGTGATACGGCCAGCTCCTACTAATGGTAGGCCTGTGAGGCAATTCGTGTTTACTGTGTGGTGCATAGCAGACTGTCTCTGGAGGAAATTTGAAAGGTGTGAGCGGGTGTGGTGTGTTTGAGGTCGGCTGACTCACTGAAACACTGCAGAAGTTTTTGAACTCCAGATAACTGAGGTGTTCCGCCATCTCATCGGCCTCCATGTGGTCAAAGAGCAGCGAGACCTTCCTCTTCTTCACCAAGGGTGATGGAGCCTGGGACACATTCACTGGAGGATTGCTAGGGGGAAAGACAAAGGAACACATCAGAACAGAAGTAACATGATCATTTATTTATTATGAAGTTGGATTACGCGACTGTGATACTATAAGCAACTGAGGAATGGGTCAAACCTAAAGATACTCTAAAAAGTTAACCCTTAAATGCCTCTGGTTGCCGTAGCAAGTCACAACCTCACCCCCACCCATGTCATCCTTTTTTGAGAAGCAAAATGTTATATTAACAAAAGAATCAGTGGCTGGTCTGTTGATCAATCTATTACTATCTATCTACTATCTAACTATCTATCTATACGTACACATTTACACTCACATATATGGCTCATGGGTCGCTAATGACCCAACTAGGCCTGTCACAATAATTACAAAGTCACTAATAATTTAAGCTGACCACCATTATTTTTCATAGTCATTATGTTTCACAATAACATTTTATCACAACAAGCAGAAAGTGAAATTGATGTGTTTTCATCAGTTACTTTGAAATAAATTAACATAAAAAAAGTCGGAAACAGACTTTTCCCGGGATGAGTTGTGGGTCTTATGAAAAACAACAAAAGTTATAAACTTTTAAATAAGTGCTACAACATGTTTAGGGAAAAGTTTGCTTGTTTGTTTGTTTGTTTGTTTGTTGGCTAGGTAGCTAATACTAATTTTAGCATGTATGCTTGCAAAACAAAGCTTTTTGCTCACACTCTGAAGAGTTTTGGTTGACTTTGGTTGCTCATGATTCTGTGTAACTGTATCTTTGTGACAATTGCACACACACAACACTGCATTGTATTGTATCATGTCAACGTGCGACACTGTGTTAGCTGCAAAGTAAAGATAGCTAAGAAACAAGATAAGCTAATCAGCCAAGTTAGATGTTTTAGGCTTGTTCTTTAAAAGTTGCAACAAAAAAAGACAAATAAATTGTTAATCACAGTTATTTATATGACAATTAATGGACAATTAAAATGTCATCAGTCGCAGAAACATGTTTAAAGGAATATTCCAGCGTTTTTCAACCATATCGCTGTTTGTCGCATCTGCATTTTACGGTTAGCACAGACAACAATATCAGTGTGCTTCCCTGTACATAGAAGAGAACAGAAAGCCTTGTTGACTCAAAACACCCATAGAAGTTGCTTTGGCACTCTTAAGCACTATTCGGACAGGATTAGCTGAACATGGGGAAGTAACGTAATGTAATTTTACTAGAAGATGCCTGTAATGTTTATGAGAAATCTCAGCATTAATGACAGAGATGGGAGTGGCCACTTAATCTACATCCCGCTTTTACTCCAGAAGAGAGCAGAAAACATGTTAAAACATGTTATTCCATTTACTGTAACCATCCATCTCATTGTCTTAAGTGAAAGCAGTGCGTCACGACCATTTTCATTAGCTTTGGAATTCACGGGAAACAGTCAGCTTCACCAACACAATCAAACTTTTTCCTGTAATTTGTACATGTTCCGTGTGAGATGAGACAATGACGTCACAAATTAGCTTGATTTTAACCACAAAGAACAAAAGTGATGCTTCTTCCTCAATACTTATAAAACTCCTTTTCCACAGAAAATGCATTGTCACCAACATGACTGCTGACATGGAATCACTTTAGGCAAAAGGTAAAAGTCACCGAAATCTATACTAACGCAGGAGCGTTTAGTCCATAAAACAGACTGACATGGTGCATCCAGACGCGACTAAAATCACTGAGAAAAAATGACATTACCCCACCTCCTCACATAAAACTAATCCTGTCTGGATCAGGTTTTAATCTGCAGTCACACCAGACATTTGCAATTTCTGTCACCTTGTAAAATGGACCAAGACTGGACTGGAAGATGAAAAAATCCTCCACTTTGTTGCTATTAGCAAGCTATAAACAGTAAAATAAAAAACATGAAGATAATTACAGTAGATCATTCTTTACTCACTGCACACTGGGCTGTAGAAAAAAAGTGTAGATGTTAACAGGTGTTAAATTTGGCAGCAGTGGGGTGACGTGTGCAGCTGCAGTTGTGCTTAGCCAAGGAGCTAACATGGCCTACCATAACCAGTAAAATCGTGAAGATAATAATACAGTCTTATGACTGACTTTTAAGTGTTTGTTTTCAGCCTGCTGCTGCAAACAGCCTTAGCCTGCTGCTATACGATGCAGAGATCAACACAGTCAAAGCAGCAGTGCTATTGGTGGAGGATGTGAATTCGCATGTGATCAAACTACAGATAAATTTCTTTTTATGAAGATAAAAATCTTTATTTTTTGGTCTTGACTCAGGCTTGCATGCTCCTTGTCTCTGCCTTGACTCATTGTTAATAAGGCTTAATAACAGTATCATAAGTGCACTGGAATATGCTTAATTCATCCTAAATATTGCCTAATAATGTAGTAATGAACATCCAGATAATTAGTAGTTAGTGGTTTGATAAGATAGTTGCCAGTTATTGGCTTTACGAGGCTTAATAGTGTGATAATGGACTTTATGCAAAAGATAATGATGCATAATACATAAATAAAAGTTTAGCAGTTGATTACCAATTCCAGGTTTAGGCTTAATACACACATTAAAAAGTACATTATTATATCTTCCTATACAGAAGTGTAGCCAAGTTCACAATCTAGAAGAACAAGTGCTTGTGATTCAGATTTAGGCTGCAGTTTGATGTTATACTATCATGCTAACAGCCTGGAACTCAGGACACATCACTCCAGAAATATCCTAAAATCGCCCACCCATTACTTAAAGAGGAAGTACGAAGCTTTTCCAAAAATGTTGAAACCAGGTCATGTTTGGGCGGGGAGAGGAACTCCCTATTACAGTCTGACTCATTCAATGTGAGATCTGGATGCACTAGTCATCCAAACCATCGCAGACCAAAACAACCTGTCACTTCCCTGAGGATCAGCTAGTCATTCACTGACACAGCGCAGGTAAGGGCGTGTAAAGGCCTGCTCTCACTCACAGGTAAGGTGTGTCGATCAGCTGGCAGTGGGAGTCCTTCTCAACCCTGACCAGCGCCCACAGATCTCCCATTACCTCCTCCAGCAGAGGGTCAGTCTCGAACAGCAGAGGAAACTGAGCTATCCAGTGTCTGAGAGAGGACAGAGCAAATATAACAGGATCAAAACCAGCCCCATTGTTTCTGCATATATGAATATTCAAATATTTTCAACAACATATAAAAAATTTATATACTATCATTGAAACATTGTAGAATTATGTTTTCAATAATAGAAATGTTCTTACAGATATATGTATAAACAACTTTATAGAGAACTTATAATAAACTGCCACTTTATAATAACTTTATAATAAACTCATCAGACAAAAGACCACAAAATAGTTTCTGAGCTCCTTGAAGCAAAAACAAAAGAAAATTAACAAACAAAAAAGTCTTTATTTTGCTTTTGTGCCTTTGTCTTTATCTGAGAGACAGTTTAGCGGTTTAACCTTTTTCAATTAATGCAATCAAATAACATTCTTTACCCAGAAACCCTGCATGCACACCGGCAGCAATGTGACAACAAAGCGGCCTCAGGTCATTCATTTTCAATCAGAACTTGTGAATTCCGGTGACCGGAGGCAGCGCGAACGTTGGTGACGAAAAGTAGGCAGAGTCGGCAAAACAACAAAGATGAGCGAAGTTTAACTTTATGCAAATAAGGAGCGACACAATGTGGTGACTACCAATAGGAATTGAGCATTGAGCAGCATTGTACATGCTTCATCTCCGCCACAGTGAACCGGTATGCTCCTTGTTTGGTTCCTAGATAATTGTTCCTAGTAGAGATGATGATAGAGATAACGATTTCTCACCAGGATTTTTATTTTTAGTGGGAATGCATCTGACTGCGTCGGTGAACAACGTCAGTTCAAGTTGAGAAACACCCACAGGCGATGAGCGATCAGCAGTGTGAGCGACAAGAGGTGAAAAGTCGCTGCTGGTGTGAACACAGGGTGACTCTGTTATCAGATTAACTAGGACACTGTTGTCTCTCTGTGTGTGAAATGTTGTGACTCTGTGTTGGGCTGTTAGTGAGCAACGAGGGGTGAAAGGAGGTTTCACCCCTCATCGCTCACTAGCATAACATTTCACAGGGGTAGGTGAGAACCCCATGCTGTGAAAACAATTCACACCTCTTAACAAAGACGACCGTACTGAGATAAAACAGAGAACAAAACTGCTGCTTGTTATCATATAGAAACTGCCACAATAAACCCAAAGCATTAAAACACTACAAAAACATCATGAGAAATGCTGACTTGCTTGCTTGTCTATGGAGGTGAAAATCCAGTTTGAATCACACGCATTTCCATCAAACTAAATTCCATCAATATTATATAAGAAAACATGCATAATTCAGACGAGGGACCTCCAAAACAGACTTTGTTCAGTAAACATAAAGTTTAATTTCTGTATGAAGCAATTAGGATCATTCAGTGGCGGTTAAGCAGAGTATTAGACAAAATTCCACTTATTGTTGCTCATTTTCCACTCACAGTCCAAATTACTCTTTTTTCCTTCCTTCCTTTCTTGAGTTATACTTTGTAAATTAGTTCAATAAATAATGTTCGTCTAGTAACAACATTTTCTATAAAATCATTTTATGTTGGGCCAAGTCATTTTTTTTCCTCTCAGTTGTTTTTAATATTTGTCCAATTTTATTTTCCAAAGTAAAATTCTGCGTGCATTTAAAATCTGTTTGAGGAGATTAAGAGCTAGTTAGATCTTGTACACGGGACAATAATCTGGGTAGTCTGAGGCTGGACCAGCAGTGGGAAACAGTCAGTGTGGTGCTGACCTTATCAAGCCAGCGGACTAATATATGCTTGCTATCTGGGATGCCACAGTAAAGAGAATCAAAACTGGTGAAATGTTTGAATCTCTAAGCAGACTTACCTGATAAAGTGACAGATCTGAGGTCGTCTCTGGGCCCTCTTGTCCACAGGACAGTCCTTATATGTGATCTCTTGTTAAGGAAGAGTCATTAAAGTGGCTGGAACACAAACCCCATCTTCCACACACACGGTCAGAGAAACCAGTCTATCCACAGATTTGCAAATACCCTGAGCCAAAACAAAGCTTCGGTGTTTTGAGGATTAGGTGCCATGTGATGCTTTGGGTACCTCCGTCTGAATCCTGAGCTGTTATTTGAACCTTTTAGACATGCTTTGCCATTCTACCATCTCTGTGGCCATTATGCCATACGATACAATACTTTATTTCCCTGTGGGGAAACTTATCTTGCACTGCCATTCTACCATAATAACCAGAGGTGGGTAACTAGTTATACCAGGGGTCGAGAACACGCGGCTCTTTTACTGCTCTGTTGCAGCTCCCCAGCAGAATCAGAAAGAGTGGACACACTAAATGCTGAAAAAATGATACTATATTCAGATTTTGAAGCTTCTGTGTAAATTCCTGTTAAATATATGTTTTCTACTCTTTCACGATGCTGAAAAATGGGAGGCTTTTTTGATTGGAAATTAAATAAATGAAAGGGTGGTCTCTGACTTTTGCACAGTACTGTATACAACATCCTACATAAACGTTATCTTATCTAACCATCCATTACACATCCGAATCCCTAAATATGTACATTAACAACAGGATGAAAGAACGTAACCCAAAAGCACCAATGCTGTCTGGAAAGGAATAAATGGTGCAGAATAAACGAGTGAGTGGAGGATATAGAGAAAGCAGCTTATGGGCGAAGACGTGTGATGGCACGACCCAGTTATGCATCATCAGGGTCATATTGACCAGCTGGATCCCTCTGCTCAGCTTCCCCTCAGTGTCTGTAAAACACAAACACAGAAATAAACAATCAGGAAGAGAGAGAGAGAGAGAGAGAGAGAGAGAGAGAGACAGAGAGAGAGAGAGAAAGAGGGAGAGAAGAGAGACTGACTTACAGACAAACAGATACAGAAAGAGAGAGGCACAGAAAAAAGTAACACAGTGAGAAAGAGAATGAGAAAGAAAGAAAGAAAGAAAGAAAGAAAGAAAGAAAGAAAGAAAGAACAGCAGCAAACGAGACAGAGTGTGAGGGAGAGAGGGGGGACACAGATAAAGAGAGAGAAAAGAAAGAGAGAGAGACTAAAAGAAAGAAAGACAGTTAGACAGAGAGAAAAAAACCTTAGAACGAGACTGAGACGTTGAAAGAAAGAAAGAAAGAAAGAAAGAAAGAAAGAAAGAAAGAAAAACAAAAGAGAAAGAAAGAAAGAAGGAACAGCAGCAAATGAGACAGTGAGGGAGAGGGGACACAGAGATAAAGGGAGAGTAAAGAAAGAGAGACTAAGAGAAAGAAAGAAAGAAAAAGAAAGAAAGAAAGAAAGAAAGAAAGAAAGAAAGAACAGCAGCAAACGAGACAGAGAAGAGAGAGAGAGAGAGAGAAAGACAGAGAGAGTTAGTAAGAGAGAGAGGGAGTCAGGCGAGAGTGAGAGAGAGAGAGAAGAGAGAGAGAGAGAGATAGAGAGAGAGAGAGTCAGCAAGAGAGAGAGAGAGAGAGAGAGAGAGAGAGGCCACACAAACACAAACAGGCTTTGTGTCATTAGCAGGACAAAGACATTCCCAGGGCCTGAAAAGCAGTAAACGAAAAGATTTCACTCTCAGTCTTTCGTCCACTCTTTGTCTCTTATTTCTCTTTTTCTCACACATTCCTCCGTCTCTTCCCTCCCTTCCATAAGCTTATATAATCTGGTTGGCACAAGAGACACCCAGAAGCTTGTAGAGGAGAGGAGGCCAGAGACAGGGCCTGGACTCGAAATCAGGCCAGAGCAGTTCCACAGCACTGCACAGGGCTTCACCGGCTCACACAGACCCACCTCACAGACAGAGAGCTGACAGAGACACAGTCAGTGCACAGTTAGACACTGCTGTGCTGGAATTACATGAGGAAGAAAGAAGAGTACAGAGCCCTGCTGGTGGCATCCTGTATAAATAAAAATAATGCATGGCCACGACTTAGTAAGGCATGGGAACAAGATAATTAAGTTGTGGCCACGCGTGGGAACGAGATCCTAATGTGCGGCCACGGCGTAGTAGGGCATGATCTCCTTCCCACGCCTTACTAAGTTGCAGCCATGACTGAATTATCTCATTCCCACACCATACTACGTTGTGGCCATGCATTAGGATCTCGTTCCCACCTGTTAGTAAGACGTGGCCACGCATTATTTTTATTTATATGGGATGTCACCAGCAGGGCTGTGCAGAAAAGTGAGCCTTGCCCTCATATAATAAAAACTACAACGGTAAGTGACCTCAAGAGTGCACATGTACAACACTGACGCTTCAGGTTTGCCACAGTATACCAGAAAAAAAAAAACAACAACAACAACCTCAATGTCCAGTTTTAGTTAGAATGTTCAATACATTAGGACAGGGGTGTCAGACTCAACCCCTATAGGGGCCATATTAAGAAATCTCAACAAATCTGTGAGCCAGAGAAAAAAATGTTTTTATTTCATGTTTAATTAACGTTGTATGCTTTAACTGGCCATAGTTTGTTTAAAATACACAAAAACTTCAGCAGTAAAATATAGGCACTTGTAGTAGACCTTGAAATATTAAATACATGCATACTTAGAAATTTTTAAATGTAAATGTTCCCAAGAGCTCGGCGTTTTAAACCTACCGATTTGCTTAAACTAGACTCCTGGCATCCTTTCTTTGCTCAAGTTCATTAATTCTTGGGCTCAATTTCTGAGCTGCTCAGCTAAGGTTTGGTGTTTATATTGGTATAACTGCAGCTAAAATGCAGCTTGTGTGTTTGGTGACATGACTGGTGGGGAATTGGGTAGAATTGAGGTGCAACCACTGTTCCATAGATTGTTGTTGGTGTAGGAGAGTCAGAGATCACATTATGTTGCAGTGCATGCTGGGGACTGTAGTGCAGCGCATTGTGAAACGGGCTAATATTAATAGAAAATTAAAACACTTTTTGCAGGCCGGATAGATTGTGAGCCAGATCTAGCTTGCGGGCCTTGTGTTTGACACTTGGTAAATACAAAGATCCAACTTGGTCTTTTTAATACAAAGTTTGCAATAACTTAGCAAATTAAAAACAAGAAAAACAGTGTGATGATAATAGACCTATTAAAGTCAATATGATTATTTGTTAACACCACAAAGGTTTGCACACCATTAACACATTTTCTTAGCTGACCATTCAAACCATTCGTAGTCATGCAGGCTGAAGCCCAGCTGCAGCACACTGTATGTCGCCATGATAGAATCTGTGATTGTAGCCTTCTCATTTTAATACAGCTTTTAGATTTAGTTTTTACAGTGATACCTTCAGCACCGGAGTGAAGGAGTGGAAAGCTCTACTTCCCCTCCAGAGCCTCTACTGTATCAAGAATCCATGAGCTGTATAAACGAGAGCAAGTGGCTAATATATGATATGGGTTTGTGATATATGCACTCATCGGTTTGAACATGCAGCCACTGTTGCTCTCACTGGACGTCAGTGATGAAAACTGAACATCATGTTCACTCTATGGTTATCATGATTTTCATATTGAGGTTCATCAAACCCCGCATTTATACAGTGAAATTAATATCAGGGAATTATTGAAGGTAAAAAATACATTCTGATGAAGCTTATTTTGTTCACTCATGTCATTATAAAAAAGTACATTTTTTTTAAATGGAACAAAAAAAAATATCCTTAGGGTCAAACTTGGCCAAACAAGACAAATACGATCAATTGTGATTAACTACACAAATTAACTACACAAATTACTTTATTCATATATCAGCCATTTGCTAGCACATTAGGTGTTAGCATGTAGTTGTTCATGTTAATAAAACTGTTGTAGGTATTTTCTTACTTCAGTGAAAAGTAAGGCAACATGTCCCCAAACAGACTCTGACTTATATATATATATATATATATATAGACACCCAGACATCCAGACAGACAGACAGTATATCAGACTGACCGAAGCAGTGGAGGCAGCGCTGGATAAGTTCTTCCAGGTTGGCGGAGCGAGTGATGGACGGAGCCGAGGGACTCTGCAGTACCCGATTGATCTCCTGAGGACTCGGACAGGTCATTCTCCTTTGAATCGCCCGCCTGTTCTTCATCGTACTGCCCCCTTCCTGACGGGACTTTCTACTGGGGAGAAAGAGAGAGAGAAAGAGAGAGAGAAGAGACATCGCGAGAGAGAGAGAGAGAGAGAGAGAGAGGGAAAAATATATTTTAGGTCTTTCACAAGGGATTTATAGAAAAGAATCAGTCACAGAGTGAAAATGATTAAAAAATTTAAAGAGAGTGAAAAAAATGAAAAAAGCTCAGATGGATATTCAGGGCTGTGCGTATTAATACTCTTTATCACTGTAACCTCATAAATAGATCACAAAAAGTATCCATGGCAACCAACACTTTATAGAAAAAAAAACCCTACAGTGCCACTTCACTAAACATCCCTCTGATGCAGAAAGAACAAAAAAGAGAGAAAAGGTGGTCATGATTCGATGGCTGACCAGCAGTATTCTCATGTATATTATATCAAAGCTGCAATAGAGGTTGTAGTCCAGGTCTGCTTTCACTGTGGTCAGTTTAAAGTGGCAGTAAAAAGGCCGGCATAAAGTAATAATAATAATAATCAGATGTACAAAATTTTCCCCACCGTCTCTAATGTAGTCAACCAAGACATGTTTGATGTCTTTAGTTTTGTACTGAAGCTGATGTAGCTAACAAGAAGCTTATACTCAAGCAACTAACAATGTGCAGACTGCAAGTATAAATCATCACGTTTACCTCAGTCTGACTCAATCAGACTGGGGCTGAATCTCAAATGGCTCAAACGGCCTGCACATAGTGCACTATGTAGTTCCTAAAATAAGGGCTCCTGCACCCAAAAGGGGCACAGTTGGGATTCAGCCATGCGTTCACAATTCCCTACTGGACAAGGATTATGTTATGATCCCAAGGTATTCCTTGAGATCTTCATACAACTGTACACCATGTAGCTAAAGACTAAAGTATCAGCCATCTTAAGGCCTGAATTTAGTCTATTTTGGTTGGTAACAGTGTGTCCTACAGTGTAAGAAACCACATGGTTTGAGGCAATTGTGTAATGATTTAGGCCTGCAGTTTGACGCTCACTTCGCTGTTATAAGCTTTTATCATATTAGCCTCGTAGCTCCAGTGCAAAACTAAAGAGGGGGTAAGCAAAAAAACTGCATACATTTGACCTTTTTGATGAACGGTTGCCTTATGGCCAGCCTGTTGTGCTGAGCTGTATTGTGGCTGCTGTGGTGGGAGGACAGGTTTTAGTGTGTTGGGCCTGTTCTGAGGCCTAGCGCTCCAGTTTTGGGGTTCTTTAAGCTTCAAGATAAAAAATCCTGCAGTGGAGAGTGCATGTGATGTGTAAACTAAAGTGGTTGGGCTGAAAACATGCTGACCTGCACAAGTGGAACATACAGAACCCTCATCTATCTGATAACTGTGGATTCACTTTCTGATCTGTGTTCTCAGTTTAGTGAGGTCACGTGTGTGAGCATGTGCACGCATCACAGATGGGGGGAGCTGGTAAATGAGAGGGGGAAGAGAGTGATAGAGAGAGACAGATAGAGAGATAGAGAGAGAGAAACAACGAGAAAGAGAAAGAAATTTCTGCTAATGCTCTTTGATCACTACAAACACTTCTTACAGCTCACTCTAACCCACCACAACACAACATTTCACTTTGGTAAATCAAGACAAAAAGTTTGAGCACCCCTGATCTTAAAGGGATATTCCATGATTTTTTCTAAATTTCTGCATAATTAAATACTTAAGATGTCAACAAAGTCATTCAGAGTGGTCTGATGTGAAATGCTCTGTTGTAGATAAACTACAGAGTCAGAATTGTTCACAGTGGTGGTGATGGGAACCAGACGTCTGAAGAGTTTATTGTCTCTAAAAGCTCCCTCACGAGAAATGAGCAGATGAAATGGTAACTGATATGGTGTCTGATGCCTGAGACATCATTGTTTGATGATAGTTTGATGTTTTTTTTAAATCTATTTTTTCATAGTTATTCACTGTGGAGAGGTACATGCTGTAAGCAAAATAGTCCCCAAAGAAAACTAATTTCTTCAGGTTTACCGCTATTTTACTATCATAAGCATTACAGATAAAAACTCAGAAGACGTGCAGGTTCACTAGTCTTTTTGGATAGTAAATAAAATGGTTGTATTTGCGTCAAATATTGTGACCCCTGGTTCCTGTCATCACCTATAAAGACTCTAAATTACTTTGTTTACATCACTACTGAATATGCAGAAATTTTGAAAAACTGGTGGAATTCACCTTAACCCAGTATTGCACAATGTTGCCTCAGGGCAACAAACTCATTTTCCTCACTTTACAATAACATCATACATATTTAAAGGCAATGATAGGGGTAACAATAAAAGGAAGAGTTTGAGTAAGTTAATAAAAAGCATGTACTTAGTTATACTCTCTTAGTGGGCACTTTTAAACCTCTTTTTTAACATTCAGTATAACTTTTTTGTTATGAGAATTTGCAGAAATATGTCTGTTGCCTAGAAGCAATACTATCCGACAGTGGAATGGATTTAGCCAGTCACAAGCCAGGTCTCACCACTTTAGGGAACACGGCTCTGTATCATTTCTTCTCATTGTCGCACAATGTTGCCTTAGGGCAACATACTCCAAAAGGACCTCTGCACATATTATTTTTTTTGCGTTTTTGAATTTAATAATCAGGTCCATTTTATGCAAGAAAAATGAATCAAATATATATTTTTTAAAATTGCTATCATAATGCGTGCAGTAGAGGGTTAAAGAATTACTATTCTACTATTCAGTATGCAACTATTCAGTAAACTATGTTATATAATTAGAATGAGGAACTCAAGGGCAAGTCTAAGGGGTCAAATAACTAAATGGCGGTAAAACTCACTTAATTGAACTGAATTAAATGGAATTGAATTGATTCATTCATGCAATGTTGAAGCACAATTAATCTAATTAAAATGAAACCGTAGTGCACAATAATAGTAGTGACGAATGATTGCTTACAATGTTTGTTTAGAGATGCCACATAACGCTGAGTCTCCAGTTTAAAATGCTTTGCTATTGGACTATGTTGTTGTAGCTCACAGAAGCTAAGTAGGCTGGAAACCATGCTAATATTAGCTTGATTACACAACAAAAGTCTAGAGCTGATCCATCCTAACAGTGGCTTTTCACACCAACACACATCCAAAATATAATTAATAACTTAGAACTAATAACTTAATAACACACTCTAGGTGCCTCAGCAATGGAGCAAGCGAATCACATGCACCCCTACTGTATTACAGTGCGTTAGCACAAGTACATAAAGTTTTATTTTTCACATAATTTTATCAACTTCCCGTAAAAAACAAAACTGTCACATGAGAAGGAGAAGAGTGAAATTGTCTCATGGCCATTTCACAGTCATCTCAAGGTCAGGCCTATTTGTGCCAGTGAGAGGAGAAAACTATCACCTGTTTTTATCTCCTCACTGTTTCTGGCAGCAGTATGTCAACTTGTTATTATGACAAAAGCTTGCCTTTATGCCTATGACTGTTTTGTAGAAACAATGTCTTATTTTCTTGAGATTTTGACTGTTATGTCGAAATAATGGCACGTTATTTCAAAATTGCAACTGATTATGTTGAAATAATTGCTTGTCTTTATGAGATTTTGACTTCTATAAAATTAAAGGCTTGTCATTTTGAAATTATGACTGCTTATGTCAAAATAATGTCTTATTTGCAGCAGGACGCTTCCCCTCTATCATTAAACACATGGACAGGGGTCGGTAACGTGGCTCTTTTACTGCCCTGTTGTGGCTCCACAGCAGAATTAGATTTTTAGGTAAAAATAAAATAATCCTCCTTTGCAGTAAAATAAAGCTCTGCTGATCGTTTTAACACAGTTTTAACAATAAATGCTCTTAAACGCTGGAGTTAATGTATAACTGCTAACTGCTAATTCACCCTGAAGGCTGGCGCGCAGACTGCTGGTCACCACAGCAACAACAACTTTTATTTATAAGCACTCAGCTGGTTTCCTGATACCTCCACCTTAAATGGTGCAGCAGTTACATTCTGGCACCTCAGGCACCATTTAAGGTGGAACGAGAAAATTTGAACAAGAAGCTGGCGAATGAGAAGCGACTTCAGCCTCGCAAAAAGTCAAACGTTGAGATTCAATTTTACAAGAAGCTTTTCTGCCTTTGCTGAAAAGTTTCCTGCTGGAGATGCGAGAAAAACAGCTATAGCTGAGCTAAAGCTTAAAGCAGAGCAAAGTAAGTCTGCATTTTCGTTTATATTATATGTTTAGCCTATACTAGTACTTTAGCACATACTGAGACATATTTACAGCCAAGATGGCAAAATGGACATAAAATATTGTGGCTCCCAAAGTGGTTTGATTGTTGTTGAAAGGACAAAATCGTGCTTCTTAACATTTGGGTTGCCGACCCCGGCATATGGAGGTGTGAATGATTACGGCATACTAATGTTTATTAATTAACACATTTTAGTATAATACAACATGCTCACTCGCTCCCCACCCCCACCCTGTAGGTATTTTGGCAAAAACTCAGTTGTGTGCTTTACTTTCTCAACAGGCTGAATTTAATTTGGGTGAACATTATGTACAGCCTGCCCACCTCCCATAGCTGCTACGAAAGAGCATAATTGTGGGCGGAGCACAGATAGATCAACTTAAATAGACAGACACTTCGGGGTGTACTGAGTATGCTTGTGCGTGCATGTTCCGGAGAGTGTACCTGTATGGCATGTGTGTTTATGTTTATGGAGAGTGGAGGGTCTCGTGTTTGATCATATCCACAGCGCTGTTTTGGCCACAGCAGTGCACTGTTTGTTGTTGCTGTTCATGTCCCATTACCTGCCTGGTGTCGGCACAGCAGACAGTTCACTTTACCGCTTTACGCCTGTTTGCAATGAATGTCACTTGGCAGTGCTGTCAATGTCACAGGAAGAACGACCGTCACATATTCTTCTCTCTTTTTCTCTCTGTCTCCCTCATTCTCTCCTCAACTTTCCTTCACTGTATCTCTCTGCTGCTTTGTCTCTACCTCTCTCTTCCACTCGCTCTCACTCTCTGGC